GTAGTGAGAAGTCTAGGTATACTGTAGGAAAGAATGTAGTTCCAATAGGGGCTGAATATCAGCCTAGATGAAAGGTTCACCATCTATAATAATTATTGAAAAAAATAATAAAATGTGTGGGAAAAGTTACTATAAGCTATCAAAATTACCATGTCAACCAATGGTGAACCCAGATATATGAAATAAAGGGAACCTGTGATGTAATTTTACATATAATGTGGGAGAATCCAGCTCAACAATACCAAGGAAGGGACTAAGGCACAAAATCTTACTGTACCTCTAGATGGTCAGAAATTATAGAACTCTGAAAAACTTAAATATGAATGCAATTTTCTTTCTCCCCACCCTCCCTTCATTTTAAAAAAGTTAAAAAGCACAGCCTCCCCCTCACCCACCCACAAATCTCCATCATTCATCTCAAGGACCACAAACTCACAGCCCACTGTCAATGTGTATGAGTCAATCTAACTTGGCAACAACCAGCGTACAAACGCAACGTCAAGTTCTTTGCCTAACCAGCATGCTTTCTGGAATTGATTTGTCCTATTACACTTCATGCATGTCACAATCTGAAACGTGACAACTCATTATAACAACATGGAAACCAAATGATTTACTTGTTAACCATATATCCGCAAGTGGCGATATTTTAGTTTTACAATTAATGCTTTACTGATTGACTGCATTATGTGCTTCATTAGATTAACAACACTGCTGATGATAAAATGATAACATTATCATAATAATAATAACAGTAATAATGTAATTTTAAATATTATTTCGCTTAAACGTTACACTGGCTATTTTAAATGTTTTATTAGCCTACTTGGTAAAAATTCTGATAAAATGAAAAGCAACTTCAATGTTAATATTATTATACTATTTAATAATAGAAAAGTTATCAATACCTAGTTTATTTTTAATTATAATAACAATAATTAATTATAATTGTCTAACAAATTACTTGACCTTGACCTTCTAGTCAAAATCTAGTAAAAAAATCAGAAGGAAACAAAAAGTTCATATCAGATTTACAAGTTTTACAATAATTATTCTGAAGAACATCTACAAATATGATACAAACAATTACAGTCGTCTTACTTGTTAAACCTCCTTGTAGTACCTGTGAACTTCAAAAGATCTTTAGCCAAACTAAAGGCACCTGTTGCCTAACGGAAACCGCCAACAAGTTCACTAGAAATTTAACGCCTGGTTGCCCACCCCATAGAAACTTACCTAATCAGCCTGAAAACTAGGTATAATAAGTCCTATTGAAGGGGTCTCTGGGTTTTGTTCTCACAAAAGTTGTCAAAAAAGAATAGGATATTTCAAACTATGTGTTTTTTCAAACTATGTGTTTTTGATTTAATTTCTGTATTGTCCTTTTCTTTAAGGTTATTCAACAGTCCTACAAGAATATTCATGAAAGATTTATTATTGAGAAATAATAATTTCTAAACATCAATTAATGTTATTATTAATAAGCAAATGCCAGTTCAAATTAATGTAATATAATTAATTTATTATTTCAGAGGCCATAATAGGCTGGTGTAGGTTTCTGAAGTTACGGTTGACAGGTTCAATTGTTGTGAATTTTGATTCAAACCCAAAAAAAGAACAATGAACAGTCTTTCTCCCAATTTATAAAATCTGCTGTCAAAATATCAAAATACTAATATTTCTAGTCCTAATATATGTTAAATAATGTAAGAATTAATAGGAAGATGCTGTACATATCGACAAATATTAACAAAAAATACAGTGGAGGTACCACAGGGGTCCAAAGGAAACAGGACCCTGTTGGGAAACCCTAGACCCTGTTCAGGAATGCCATTTCAGGCATCTACAGGTGCCTTCTTACAAGTTGCTCGCCGCAGCACCGACCATGGCCAGGGCTGAGAAGAGTGTGTACATCATCCATGTCGAGGACTTGGACCTCTGTCATATTTATTTATTTATTCTTTCCTTAGACTGCATGCACTTTCAGTACTTGAGTACTGTTTTTCTAAGTGGTACAGTTACAAACAAATCATCATCAAAAAAAAAAAAAAAGAATATAATACAAAAATTCAAAAGTAAATTCAATGTAAAACTTATAAATTAATAGAATGTTGGAATGAAACTAAGGTCATTTCTTTAAAGTTAGTTTTTGTTTCCTTTTTGATGCACGATATAAGAACGTTCTTTTGCCTTGACAGATATTCCAAGATGGTACAATTAAATGATTATGCTTTTGGCTATGTGTGTATTTTGAATGTGATTGTGATTAAAAATAAATTTGGATGTTAGGTAAGGAGGGGAATGCCCTTTTATACATTTAACAGTCAAAAGAATTAATTCTTCATTCCATCTTACATTCAATTTTCTCCAATCAAGGAAACTTAAAGTATAATCAATAGAGGTCTTAATATCAACAGAAAGTAAAATCCTACCTAACCTGTTCGTAAGGACTTGAAGACAATTAGTGCTTTGGATACTACAATTTGACCAGACACAACAATAATCAAAAAGAGGAATTACTAAAACATTAGCTAACATTTTAAAATCTCTGCAATGCCAGTCACTGATATAATATTATTAATACAGTACAAAAATCTAGAAAATCAATAAAAATATACGGTACTCAAATACAAACATTCCTACTAAATCACAAAGTCCTTGGTTATTTTGGACACGATGGAATAAGAAGGTTTAATACCTTACTGTACGAAGCCGATCGGGTTTAATGCAGAAAATAGCCTGGCGACCATTCACCATTGTGTGTTTGTTGCACTTTGTCAAATTAGGATAATAGCCAATATAGGCTGGAACTACATACGGTATCTTTAAAGTCATCATTTTAAATAAATTGCAAATAATGAAAATAGCAATGAGATTTCTCATCCCAATTTACTAATTAATCAAAAGAAAATATGTCATCATGTCTCGAGAATATGATATGCAAGATTATTCTGCTTGATACGATTTCATTTTAGCCCGTTAAATGAATCGTAACAATGGTACTAAGTAACACCACTAATTACTTTCATAATAATTATTTCAAAAAGTGAAAGGTATATGGTATGGTACACGATATTAAGCATATGTGTTGTAAAGAGCATGCGGCTGAAACATGCCAAGAACGAAAAGTATTTTTATCAATTTTGCACGTATTTATAGTGCCGATTTTTGTCACATGGAATGTCAGCATTCACAGCACTTTACTTTGCTGTTGTTCAATTCTGGAGGAAATCATGCATGACAGCATTCCCCGGTGAATATTCCAGTTGTACCGCATAAAACATAAAATAATTCACTATCCCTTGAGATACACATTTTAATGTGAAGTTGATATAGATTTAGAATTTATTCTAACTAGCTAATGCGATTTGAAATTTACTCCAACTTTTTCAAAATAAGGAAAAAAACAACTTAATCACCAAAGATAGTGTTTTTCACTAAGCAACATGTTTGATAAAGCAGTGGTTTGGAACAGCGGGAACGGTTTGGTTTCCCAACCTCGAGGTTGGGTTTTCAATCCCTAGCTGTACATTTCGCTTGTGTCCTTGAGCAAGGCACTTTTATTGCTTCTCTCCACCCAAGAGTGTAAGTTGGTGCCTAAGAAGGTTTGAGTGCAAAATGCGCTGATATATTTCATGCAGCAAACTATGGAAAATTTCCCCCATAGGCATCGGTCCAATGAATGGGGTAATAATGTGGAAAAGCGTTCTGAGACTTAGTTGTATAGAGCGCTATATAAAAACGTGCATATCATTATTATTATTATTATTAAGATTACAAACTTGACAGATGTAATAAACATACACACATGTACTAGGGCATTTTAATAGCACTAAGCTTAATGTGTTTGTAACAGCAGCTAACTCATTAAACTCATGTAATCAAGGAACAATTTACTTGATCAGGCATTTATCCATGCCTGTTAATAATGTGATGCCCTCTAGCTGACCTTAAGTCACACTAAATCACGCAAAGTATCATATCATCACCTCACGGGTGTGGGCAGGACAGCCTCTTTTATATTTAAAAAAAAATAATAATAATATGTAAAGTAGGAATTATAAAGTGCAGATAAATGTATGAACTTTGCTCATAGCACATAAGGCCAACATCTCACATTAGCGGGTTGCTCTAGCATATTCCGAGTCTGAATTTCACAAGCTTTATTGTGTAGTACATAAATAATAATAATAAGTAGGGATCATGAAGTACAGATTCCTAATGTAGAAACTCATGGCACATAAGACTAAACAAAATGAGATAAATAATTACTCTCCCTACATTCAAATTAAAAAAACAAAAACAAAAACGAAAACCTAACCTAGCATTTCAACTACATATAAGAACGTAGTTATTCTACTTTATTTAAATTAGTATATATTATTTTATTGTATTTACAATGGCTTACTTTTTTATTGGTCAAGGCATACAGATTAAATCATGCACGATGTGGATCCTCTTCAGTTTTGTAGTGAGTGTTCCTATAGTTATGCCTATACAGCAGCATTTTCAATTTTGTTCCAAATTATTCACCTCTTACAGTACCAGGTACCCATTTAGAGTCCTGGTTGAAGGTTGGCGAATGAAAATATCCTGCCAAAAGACACAAGCAATGAGCCTCAGACGAGCATCAGTCTCAAACCCACGGCCTCTTAATTAAAACACTGAGTACATGCCCACCACTAACTTATATTCATGTAATAAGTTTCATGCAATAAGCTTCCTCCGGTGGTAACTTTATTTATTATTTCAGACGTTTGGACTGGAAATTCTAGACGGTGTTGGAACAAATTAAACACAAGATACAAAAAATCACATCTAAATATTTAACATATAATGAAAATTTAAAAATACATACACATTTATGTAAAATACATCCATTTTTGTTTTTATCTTTTCACAAGGTAGGGTGAGGAGGTACAGTAGAGTGAAATAGACCCCTTATTTACTTGTCCACAACTGTTAAATATTAAGAATAAATATAATGCCTTATTACTCACCAAGTCTTAGTCTACAGCTTTACTTACACATACTCCCTACTATTAAATTTCCAAGAGAAAGTAGTTCCTGTAACACAAATGAGAATAATAATAATAGTAATACAAGCGAGATGCTACAGGAAATGTAATCATTATCCTCAGACAAATTGCACATACTTCAGTGTGCAAATGAGACTTACTATTTATCTCAAAAACCAGTCAATAATTATGAAGAGTAACATTCTATATTTTAACAGAGTAATACAAATAAAATAGGTTCAGTAAAATGTTTCAATTTTTTAGAATACAATATTTGTATTTCATATTGTTTACTTACTGAATATTGCTTACTTGCTTACAGTTAAAATGTATAAGTAGCTGTTTGCTTGCTACACATGCAGACCAACAAATGAAGTGCTTACAACTAAAACGAACTGGCTAAACTTATCCACAATGATTTTGATTGGTCAGTGTTATTCATATGCAAATGAGGCAAGTCATTCATTCTCCAATGGATTCAGATCAATAGTGAAACTGAAACTGGTGAAGTGGATACAGTTAGATCATGGAGAAAATAAAATATTTTATTTTCTCCATGGTTAGATACAGAACAAGAAGAGATGTTGAATGACTCCAATTTAACAAAACAATCAATAACATTAAATAAAAAAAAACACAGGGCAATATCCAAGCGAATATTAAAGAGTAATGGTAAAGAATCAATAACAAATAATCAACTAATTCTTGGAAGCTGATGAATTTATTCAAGATTATTAAATGTATGATGTTGGGACTAGTTTTGTTTGTATTGCTGTAAATTGAGACTTATCTAGCATAGAACCATAATGTGTATGTAAAATATAAAATCTGTAAAATCAACAGTGATTCAAATTAAACTGTAAAATAAATTATAACTAGAGTGGTTGCTAAATTTCATGCTCACCTCTGCCCTGTCTCTGATAATTAACAATAAAGAAAAAAAAACAGACTTTCAATTACTTTGACATTAGACCTTTCACCAAAAAATGTAATCAACTTTTTATATTAACCAATATTTACTGTACTGCTAAATTTTATGATACCATTCATGGTTTTTGTATATCCTTTATTAATAAGATTCTTCATGTTTAGTATTTATGCATGTCATGATGTAAACTTGTCTATGATCAAAATAAGTGATAAATATGATACCCCTATTTCTTGACAACCGGGAAAACCCATTTTTTTATTAACTATTGAAAAGTAGCATGGCACTTTATAAACCAATTACACAATAGAAGTTTGTAATAGTGTAGGCATGAACAATTCTATGTTTGGTGATTTACCTTTAGATGTCTTCAAATTTCTTCATGTGTCTTTGTTGAAAGATGCCCCAAAGGTCAAAACTCTCTATAAAATCATCAAGCTGATGAATGTTATCCGTTCCGTCTATCAGACGCTCATTGTAAATGCTAGATATGACATACTATATTCATTGTATTTTATTACTTGAAAATTATAATTGGCTTGTGACAACAATTGCAATGAAAAATTTCTTTTGTGCACCAACATTGACTTGGGTGATTATGGAGTAATATAAAAATTAATAAATAGCAATCTAGAAATCCATTTTAAACAGCATGAAAAAGTTATACGATCAACATCAAATTGCATACTAATACAAAAGTACAATTGATTAATAATAATAATAATAATAATAAAAATAATAATAATAATAAAAATAATAATAATAATAATAATAATAATAAATATATAGTAATGATGATAATAATATGTAATAACAATAATGAAAAATAATGAATAATAATATATGATGATAATAAATAAATGTATTAATAATAATAACAAAAACAAAAACAATAACAATAACAATAATAATAATAATAATAATAATAATAATAATAATGAGGTAATGTTAATAACAGAGATGAAAGCTCACAGTAAATTTACATCAATTGTGCTTGGTTTATATAAATTAAACAGTTCTACAATCATTATAAGCAAACCACATGAAAATATTCAAATATTTACGAAATGATAATGAAGACAAAGATGAATAATAAAAGAAAGAAGTTATAATCTATTATAAATTATTATGACTCAGTATAAATTTGTGAATATCTTGAAACTTACAAAATATAGTGAAGTTTACGCACATCTTAATTGTGAATTGATGATAGCATAACAAATAAAAAATCAAGAATATTTTACTTTCATTACCCAAACAAGTCCATGTCACAGTTGAATACATCTTCACTGCTGAAGCCCCAGTCCATGGATATTTAGCACCTCATGCACACAAGATATCTAATTGCTTCACATTATCACCCTGGTCATTAGATGAACACACCACTGGAACACATACTCAACTCTCTGGGGGAAATCCATAATGATGCAGCTAGGAATCAGCGCATCTGTGGTTCGAACTACAACTTGTACTCTTGGGTGGAGAGGGACAACTACAAGTAAAATACCTTGGTTTATAAGGACACAAGCAAATTATGAGGGATTTAACCTGCAACCTCAAGTTAAATTAACAATAAAATAATATTATTATTAATATTTCATTATATGTTATGCTTTGGGGGAATCAGTCAGAAGACAAATTTAGGCTGATTTGATCCTCCTTATTTTTTTACATTCTCCCATTTTCTGCTTACTATGATCATTTTTCTTTTCTTGTAATTTTTTGCCCAAATTTTGTTTTACTATGGTTTTACAAGATGAATGAAAAAATAAACTTTAATTTGATATGAGAAGTCACACTACAACAGCCGAGCCAAACTACTCATATGGAGCTGATCTGATCACCTTTTGGTTATCTAACATTACTAACATTAGGTAAATATTGTTCCCTTTTATACCCATCCTGTAAAGGATTGCAATATTAGAGATAGACGGGACAAGGACTTTCAAATACAGAAACCTTTTTAAATAAAGAAACCACGTGGCTCCAACAACCATTCATAAAAATCATTCATAAAAATAACATTATGACATAAAAATACTTCGATATTGCAAGTTTGTGGAACTTGAACAATCATTCCATGTGTCATGAAGGTCATGGAACCCAAATTAAGAACTGTTACCATTGGCCAATGAAGCAGAAACTGATTGTAATCGAGTTCCCACGAAAAACACAAATAAGGATTTACAATTGAGATGCGGTGACTGTAAAATTTTCACAAAGGAGCTTGTTTTACAACAACATTTAAGGCCAGCAGAACCTGTGTGTCATAGGACTACAATTTCAAATATGAAATGCAGTTCTAAGACAATTTTTGCAACAATTTCTTGATTAAAGAATTTATTAGTTTTCAGTTAAAAATTGAAATGAGAGAAAATTTTCTCATCAATTAATACCTTTCTGAAATACTTTTGTATAGACAGACCCATGCATTGTAATGAATTTAAGAAATTTCAAAATGAATCAGCAAAAATTTGATACTGTATATTAATAATTTTAACAGACTTTAATACAAATAAATAAAATGATCACACATGGGACTTCTAATAGTTTCTAATAGATTCATTATGTAATCGGCTTAATGTGTAAATGATGCATGAATGCAATTTATAGTATTGATATAAAACTATGTTTCTTGTTGCTTTCAAATTCAAAACATCTCTACAGACCCATTGTGGTTGATGCATAAATAAATTGTATATAAAGGTCTAAGTTCAAACAAATATTATTTTTTTTGTAACATTTTTACTTCCAAAAATTCAAAGACATACAACTGCTCAAGGGTTAAAGAAAATGATAATGATGTTACAAAATGCTAGAGAGGGCAGCAAACATTTAAAACCTATTCCCCAAGCACCTACTGTACACATGGAACATGCCACTCCATAATTGCACACAAGTTGACCAACAATCAAAATAATATACTTCATATTCACAGACTCCCAGAAATCTCACCAGCATGAAAATTAACGACCTGTGGGAAAGCTAAAAACTACTTAAAATGCCAATGGTAACCCAAGAGGTAACACACATTAATATGTCACTGAAGAATCCGACAGATCACCGATTAGAAGCGGCGGTTTATCAAAGAGGATGATAATGATGATAAAGCAACTGCACATTTTAAATATTTACTTGTCATTCCTCTGAACCTTCTACTTTCAAAATTTATGAGGCAAAGAAGTAGTCAGCTGTAAGCAAGGAAAAAGAGAGAGAAACTGTAATGTGGTATTTTAATAATTTAATTTCCTTCCACCCACCCTGTGTCCTGGATTATAATCCTGAAAAAACCCAGATTTTTTTTCCCAGATCCCGAAGCCTCAAAGACTTCAGCCCCACCACACACTGCTTATGCATAAGCAGTCAACACCATTTGGAAGGGATCATCTTTTTTAAGGGTGGTCTGGCCTGACGGTCAGCGTAAAGAAATCATGCTGGGCAAGCGCTCACAACAGCATGGACATATTCTTTGCCAATGATAGAAGCGTACACAAGGCTCAATTATAAATTATAAGGTAATTTATAACATATACATGTACATATATACTCTTATGTACAAATAAAATATGTAATTCAAAAAATCAAGAAGAAAGAGACATGAAAAATTCATTTACTAATATTTAATCAGTATACAGTCAAGACTACAATATACAGCATTATATTTCTCAAAATATGAATTTAAATATGTAAACAGGCTGGAAATGTTTATGAAATTAAAAACATTAATGATTTACATATTTTTATTAACATGTGCTAAATTAGTAATAAACAACAGTTATTCAGCAATTTTATTAATAAATGTTATGAATGTGACATAAAAACAAAATATATGTGCAGAAATCAATTTAATGAATATTTATATTATGTTATTATATTACTTGAATAATGGAGGGATTACAAACACACTGACATTTGTTAAAAAGGAGTTCCAAAGTTAAAACTTTCCCAAATATCAATTATTCCTAACTTTTGTGACTCAAGCTCACAAACGGGCTGTAAACTTGTCCTCAGGCCAAAATGAGTTTTTGTTGTAATGGCATAGAACATATCATTTACTTTAAAATGACAGTTAAATGAACTCAATCGGGTGTCTGGAAGCAAAGTTATGTCCGTCTGAATAATTGTCATCTTGTCAAATTTCTTAAATCAAGTTTTGAGAAAAATGCTTTTATTTTCGGCAGGTTTTCGAAAAAGGCTAAAAATTTTACCTCTTACAGTTGCAATTTTACACTCAAACCTCAGGAATAGTAAGATTAATAGTTATACTTTATTTATTACACAAAAACCCAATTCACACAAAATTCAAGTTCTACGCCCTATTCTGGGTATTGAGGCTTAGTTTCTCAATACAGTGCAGTGCAAGTTTACAGCCCGTTTGTGAGCTTGGGTCACATTTATCAATTAATTCTTTGCAGTTTAACACTGTGTAATTTGAATGATTTGCAACATTTGTCTGTCACTGCAGAGAAGTTATAAAAAGTTGTAACTGATTGTACTACATACTTAAAAAAATTACTCTTGGTAATCCTACTTACATGGGTCTATAAAACAATTAATGTTAAAAATATGACTATGAAATATAATAAATGTTCAACAAAGTTACAACCAACAGAATTGTGGGAAAGTTTCTAATTGAAATATGCTAATGAGTTTGAAAACAACATCCATGCTTACAACAGGTGCAATACTAGATCATTTAGATTATTAATGTTCTGATTATAAAATTCATACATATTTGTTCTTTATGAAACATTCCAAAAAAGTATGCTATTGTTAAGTTATAGATGAAATGCATTCCTGTAAAATGTCCAAAAACAATTATGAACTTAAGTGAAGTGCTCTACAATGAAATGTATCAATGTTTTCAATGGGACAAGGGTTAGTAATTAATAAGACAAATTGTTAAGTGTTAGGGAGTGAACAAAATTCATACAAGATAAAATGGAATATTTTAGCCACATTCAGATCAATAAGCTGAAAAAGATGGTAACGACAAAAGTTATAAAATATAAAAGATGTGATTCAATTTATATTTTACATTTTAATTAAAAAAAAAAAAAAAAAATTCTAGCTTGACTTTTTTATCATACATCCACACAATTCGCTTCATTTTACTCATGATTTATTTTGTTCACATAATTAGTTTTACTTCCAATAATTTTTTAAAAATTCAATTATACTTCCCAATTATTAAGTTAAAATTGTTACAAAACATAGACTTTTTGATAATTCAATCTCTTCTAAAGTTTATTTTCTATTGTTGAAACATTGAGAGTGACATATATGGAGCAGAGCTGTTAGCCATCCCATAATCCTGATTCAACTCCTCCAAGCACCACTACTTCTTAAATATCTCTACTCAAAGACCTATCCACACTATCAAATTTTATTTGACAAAAAACTGTTGTACACCCATATATAGTCATGATGTGCCTATATATGGTCATGTGATGTCATCATGACCATATTTAGGCATGTCATATGTTTTGTCAAATGAAAGCTTAAGTGTCCTAGGCTCAATTCTGTCAAGTGACTAGACATTTTCTCATGAAAAAATATCAATTTCCTTATGTTCAATAGACCATTTGTGAATGATTAGTATTATAAAGAAAAATCACCTAATATTAGACTTGCTTAGGCAATTCTTGCCTTATTAATTAAAAATGAATAAAAACAGATACTTATACCATATTCACATAAGAAAAAATGCTACACTACACGTTTGGTGTTAGGAAAAATATAGTATGATTTCCATGCTCCCTATGTGAATGCACATCCATGTGAGATTAGCCTGCATCCCATGAAATATCATCTAAGAAAGAATTGACTCATTGATTTAATACTAAAGAAATTCAATAATCAGTTTCAAAAAATGTGTGTACAGTATACCAGGTTTTTGAGAACATATACTAATGTTTGTCCACCATCAAGATTTGATTGCTTTTTGGTTGCCCCACCAACAGAGAGTAGCCAAGGTGGTATATTGCCTTAGAATTTTCAATGAGGATATGTTAATTAATTTAAAAATTAATTAATTTTGAAAAAGGTTAATAAATCACCCGATATTAAACATGCCTGTATAATATAAAGATGGTAGTTTTAAGAAAAATATATTTTACGCCACATCACACCAAGACTATTGTTTGGTATTATAAGTTGAATTTATATAATTATTTCATGATCTAAATTGTTTTTGTATTATGATTTTTTCCAATCATAAGTATGGGAAACAACTACACAACATAGACCATACATGAACAATGTGCTAACATACATGTGGATATGCATACATGCAATGCATCTAAAGCAAAGAAAATTGAAGAGAATCCATAAATACTGTCTACATGACATTCACTTGATCTAAAAGCTAAAGAGTAATTAATAAAAATAATCTAAAAATACTAGAATCTTTAGTATTTCCCATGAATAATCACAACTGCAAATTAACCCAAGATTTTTATGCTACAATGTTTCTCAAAATCACATCTTTGCAACAGAAAGAGCCTATCTAATATAGACTAGATTGCATCAATTCTGCAAACTTTCTTCCGTATATATTTCTAGTAGTCTACTTGAGGTCTTTTTGGAGACAAAAAGTAGACAATTTTTCCACATGTTATCTATAAAAATGCTTTTTCGAATGCTTGTTTATAAATTTCTTCCATCTAATGTGCTTCCACATCATTTTACAGCACATTTAACAGGTGAATTATTCATTTTAATGCAAATTAGCACTAACACCTGTTGCTGTTTTCTTTCATCACATGATTCTCACTCAAATCTGATGAGCTGATGTTTTTCATAAATCTTCTGTTACAACAAATTACCTGGAATCCTGCCTCAGGTTGAGTCATCTTTTTCTTCCACTTTCCTAAGCCTAGGATACCTTGCAATCTCAACTTCTTCAGGCCTAGGGATCCACTGCCTCGCACAAAACACTTTATGAGGGTTTTGCCTCTAATTAAGCCTTGTTGTTCATCCTAGCCCTTCATTCAGGAGCCTTGGTAGTGGTCTGGAAAAGACCTTTGAGCTGCTTGCTACCTGGAGGTGGTGTGTTATCCTTAGGAGGTGGCACAGGGCCTGCTTCACTCACATAAACATATCTTGAACCTGTGCTCAGAAAAATATATCTTGATTGAAATAGGATTAATTTATTAATTATTTGTAAAGCAATGTTCTAATCATGTCAATAAAGGACGTTCTATGAGTAGGCTGTGGTTGCGGTGGTACATTCTGAAGGTTCTACTGTATCTTTGTCATAGGGATGTTCCAAAAAAATCAGTAGCAATTAGTGTGTTTAATATCAAGGTAAGTATTCATAATACAGCTTTGTCATTATTCTAGGCAAACATTCACAGACTGACAACATAGATTATAGAAGATTATCTATATTAAAAATGAGACTAAACAAGACAAAATGAACATAAGATTAAATGGGATAACTATGCATTTGATATTATGAGGAATGCCTTTGCAAAATGGTTAAGTTGTCGCACAGGCCAGGATTGATTAAATGAGCTTTAACATAGTATGGTAGCTCAAAACAAGACCTAAAAATCAAAATGTCTAATTTATCATGTCCCAAATTCTTAGTTCTGGGAATGGTCAACAAATCGTTTAACGTTGTTTTGGCAGTTAATCTTTTAAACAATGTATGCACAAATAACTTTGGAAGGCAATTACTAAAAATAAATTTTTATCTTGACTCTAGGAGTACTTTCACTTCACAATAACTAAGGCTTGAAATGTCCAATTTCAATGAATGACCACTCATTTTAAATATTATATACTCAGGTATCTGAAATTACCCACTTGAATTTCAATTTTTGCTACAACCTAGCCATTTTGCCATGTCTCATATACGGAAGTGTATAAGATCGGAAAAAAAGATGATATAGCAAAAGGAGGTTATATATGAATACAGTGATATTAAACAAAATTTTATGGATACAATGGCTGTAACAGGATTATTTATTAATGAATGATTAATTACTTTAAATAATTATATACTTTTTAATGTAATGCAATTCAATGTTTAGTCTGTAATTTCTTTGTTTTTAGTTTTGTTGTAGTGTAATGTCTCTGCCATTGTTTTAAAAAATGATCTCTGCAATTCAGCTTTTGCTGCAATAGAATTTTATGGACTTTTATATTTATATACATATTTTTCTAAACAAAGATACAATGAATAATATATATGCTTGATGGACACAATCATTTTTTTGATATGATGCAAATCACAAGAGAAGGATACGGATATCTCAAAACCCAAAACGCATTCCTTGTCAAGGTTACACCATCAGCACAGCCTTCTGGGTAAAATGTAGGCGTATAGGATGAGCCCGGACGGACCCTAGGGTTGATCTTTATGTAGAGGGGCACGTCAGGTGTCACGATGAATGTACGAAGAAGCTGTCCTAATGGCGGCTTGGTTGTTCTGTTTAGAAATCACAGAAACTTTTCATTTTACAGTATACATATCACTTTAAGAAATACTTAAAAACTTGATATTGGGTATCTTAGGAAGATGGCATCAGGGTGGGGATAGGATAGGGACATGTCATGAGATGAAGAGACGTCACAGGGATAGAAAATATACTATAGGGTAGGGGGATATAATAGAGATGTATTATGGTTGGTAAAGATGTAATAGGAAGGAGAGAGATGTCACAGACGGAGGAGAAACGTCATATAGGATGGGGATGTGTCATAAAGAATGGGGCGATATCATAGGGGAGGGGGTGGGAAGATGTAAACATGATCTAACCTGCATGAGCATGGAAAATAAATTGGCATATCCAAATGAACCAACTTGGTGGCTGTTTCCTTCAAAACGGCATTAGTGGCTTTGACAATCTTGTCGGGGCTAGAGCAGATAAAGCGATGTCCACGTGGACATTCAAATTCATTGCCGATGTAGGCACGAATCACATTCTCACCTGACGATTCTAAAAACAATTTAAGCATAAAAATTCATTAATGCAGCTTATTTGGGCTACTCACCACTCTTTCTAATCATTTATTTAGTTCAAAATATTTTTTTTCCTGGATATCCCATCCATGTATGGATATTGTTCCTCCATTTTTTATACCAAGGTGAATTTTAAAATATTGTTTGGTTATGTGTAATTTGCCTATTGAAGGTTTCGTTCAACTTGATATTGCTTCAAGAACATGTGGTCATTCAACAAAAATTTGTAGGCAGCACTTTAATAAGAATATTAAAAAGTATGCTTTTCTAGAAATGTTATGCCCGTTCATACATCACAGAAACCAGATGAAAATATTTGAGCTTGTACGAACCATTAAAATTAGTACCTTAGCAACAACCGCAAGGAAACAGGACTAGTTAATTGCCTGTTATTATTTTTACTAATCAATACGTGTTTAATTCAAACTAGTATACAATAAAAATAATTACCACGGTGGGGTCTTTTATCTCTTTGTCTTCCACCTCGTCTTCCTCCGGTTTCCCCGGGGGCAGGCCATGATGGATCCAGATGGCTACCTTTGGGTACAGGTATGTCCCATGGGAGCAGATAATTTGAGTCCCGTAAGAATCCAGGCTGCTCTAGTCCTGCAAAAGAATCAATTCAAATCTATCTCATGTAATTTTATATAAGAAAATATGTTAATGATTCTATTCATAGGGTCTGCTCACCTCCGCCCCACCTGGGACTGAGATACAATTTTATATCTATAGGACCTCTAGGTCACTGGAAATTGCTAGTCAGACTTAAACATTTGAATATGGTTTTCTTTTTTTCTTTTTTTTTTATTTAAAAAAAATTTAGTGGGGAAGGGGAGGGGCAGTTGGACTTCGGTCCACCTACAAGATATCAGTAAACTTGATATACAAGGTTCATGCTGTGTATTATATACTACCTTTAGCAGGGTTGTATAAACTGGCTTTTCCGAGACAGAGCAGCGACCAGGATGAGAACCTGGGCAGCAGGTGAGCAGGTGAGGTGGTGCAGGTCATCCCCTTCAGGTGTTCTGCCATTGACAGTTGCTTTACCAGTTTACCTGAAAAAGACAACAAATAACATGAACATAACTAAGAAGGGGTTATATATGATTCAGTCAAACTCTTTTTTTGAGTGAACTCCCTGATAAACCAAGACATCCTTTCCCCCATCAAACTGATGGTAAATTAAAAATTTACATACATGAGTGTTCCAACTTCAAGGGCACTTTTTCCTGACCCCTGTTAAGGTGAAATGAATTATTGTATTATTTTCAATGGGTGTCAAGTGGTGTTACTAAGATAGGTACTCACAGAATAGACTATACTTACTAATATAACTTGATACTAACATTTTTCTTCCTTATAGGGATATTATGTATTTATACATATTTTTTCTAAGGATATGAATTCAGAAAGAGAAAGAAATGTAAAAATGAAAAAAATAGTCATAATTATAAAATACCTCTCTCTGTGATTACTGCTTCGTTGACACTTAGGCTAGAGTTGTAATGGGTGAAGACATCACTTCCCCCTGACTGGCCTAGACTTAATGCTGGGCTGCATACAGCATTGTTTGTAACATTATCTTAAAAAGAAATGCATAAAACGTGTGATATAATCAAAAATAAAATAAATATAAAATAATCATTGTCATAATAATGATCAAGGTGTCCCAAGTGGAAAGAAACTAGTTCCAGGAGATCTGTTTAAATGAACTTCCAGTAAACACATCTAATTTTAATTTGCTGTACACGATGATACACATCGACACCGAAACAATTGATAGGCCATAATAATTTAATTGTCTCAAAGCTCCTGGGTGCATTAATAAATTCATGCTTGTAATTCACGCCTCAAAATTTAGAAAGAGTTTTTTTTTTTCTTTTTATTTCTCTATAACTTTTAAGTGAAGAGAGCCCACAAATGGACCTTTAAAAAGCAAGTATTTTTCAGGCTTCACACATTTTCATCGCGGTAAATTTCCATCCATTTAATCTTCGTTTTAAAACTTAACTTAATTATTGATTGATTTATTGAATAATCAAAATACATATTCGAAAGATGTCCATGGATGCTGGGTTTAAGTAAAATACACGATCTAGGTATGCAAGATGCTAAAGACTTTTGAATAAAAATGAACTTTTATAGGGGCCAGTGAGATGAGGCAGGCTTAGGCCTAGGCCCCATCAGTTCAAACCTATCAGCTTAGGCCTAGATAAGCCTAGGTAATGGAGTTAGGCCTAGGCCTAGCTAGGAGAGAAAGTTTTTTTCAGTCAAGGAAGATATTGGCTCCTTTCCATCCAAGGATAATTATGTAGTGTATAATCAAAAGGTGAAATTATAAAATATCACAATGAATCAAAATTATGATTTATACGATTGATCTAGGCCTAGACCTGCCTATTGCATATATTACTGTGGTGGGATTTCCTTCCAGCAGGGATTTGTTATCCCTGCTTTCAGCAAATGCTAGCCCTGGATGGAGCAGGGTTTACAAAGCTGGCAAAAAAGAAAAAGAAAAATGCACTGGTTTGCATCAGTGTTGTTTTTGGTGTTCATGGTCAATTTAACCATAAAAATAATTCTTTAAAAAAACCCATTCTGCATTAGATTTTTGGAAACAGGAGAGTTTTGAGACAAACAATTAAATGAATATGGCCTAATACAGTATAGTAATAAATTTTTCAGGTGATTGTTGCTCGTTGGCGGAAATGCTAGAGACTTTTCCCAATTTCCGGGAGACTCCTGTGACTTGCGGAAGACTTGGGACCCCTGTTATCATATTATTCCTAATCTCCATCCCATAATGAAATACAGAATCATGTTAGATTAATTTTAAATTGATGTGTTGAGAATTAATGTACTAGAAAACAAGTTTTATAATATTACCAAGTTTAGAATGGTCTATGCTTTCTAAGACTGACGATCGTTTGTCATCTGGTGAAGTCTTGGGGACCTCAGGCTCTACTGATGAGGATGACCTCTGCGGTACATACACCGAAAAGCTTATCTTCTTAAGCTTACCACAGCATTTTTCAGCAAGTTCTTCAAAATAGTCGTAATTAGCAATCTGGAAAAAGAGAATCAAGTTTTGTATAATATACACTATCAAATTTGAAAATTTGAAGTTTATCTCAGCCAATAATATTTTAGTTTGTTATAGTTCATTATGCCTATATACTGTAGGCTTCTACGCACTTCACATTAATACCCATGTTATTGGATCGAACAACAATAGAAAACATGCTAAGCTCCCTCAGGCAAGCTGTGTCGCAGTTAGTATTAACACACTCCTGTATAATGAGAGAAAACTGTTTATAACCATTTTGAAGCCCATTGAAAATAAGTATGAAAAATACTATGTTGCTTTGGAAATAAATCTCATTTATATTACATATACAAAAGTGGTATACAAATTAAGTCACCTTAAGATCGAATGGATCATCTCGAAAACTAACAAAGCGACCACAGTTGCAAGCACATGGTGTACGGTTGTTATTGGTGTGAGGCATCTTGGGAAGGCGACCTTCGAGTTCAGTATCAACGACATCAGACGGCAGAAGATGAAGCTACACATATTACAAAAAAACTGCATGCATGAGTGTGGAGTCATGATAATCCAAAGAAGTTGAGATCTTTGGTTGCAAACAGATGACAACAGTACATTTTTGCACTGTAAGTCCCAAACCATTACAATTCAAATGTTATTAGAAGGATTGTCTTGGTTTTGTCACAATAAGCCCTATTTGTTCTACAGCAAACATCTTTATAAATACGTTTTTTTAACAACTTTCATATACGAAATGTCTACCTTTAATATGCAGTGGTGTCCTGTAAGGCTAGCAACTTCACACAACTGTCGTCCATTTTGCCAGAACAGCTCGCACTCCTCCAGTAGAAGGTGAGCATACTTCTCTACGGCAGGGCCTCTGGCCTGCTGAGAGAAGACTTTCATTGCTTGCGATAGCTAGCAATGAAAATAAACATAAGAAAAAGTTGGTTTAATAATGTGTATGTAAATTAGTCTGTTTTGAAATTGGAAGCAGGGGTTACATTAAAAAAAAAAAAAAATGCACCTTAAATGAATGTTTAATTAATTCATCTGAATTTAGGAATTTGAAAAAAAAACTTTATGTAATAGAGCTCTGGCATGTAGCTATACGATATGGAATGCTAGGTTTACTCTATTTGGAATAATATTCATTTTTTTTGTAGTATAATTTTTTATATTTTTTTCTGTCACTGTATAATTTAACTTCATAAACTAACTTTGTCCTGCCTCGTTTCAGTTCAAAATGCGGACCTGGAATAAATGTTTACTTTCTTTTGTGCAATTTAGATTGCTGAATAAAGAATGATTGAATTATATTTTTTTTATTTTTTACAGATTTTATAATATTAGTTATCAATTTATAAAAATTTTTTAAGTCACAATTACTGCATCATTCAGAGTTATTGTAGGTGATGGCGATGAAGCAAATATGATGATTATGATGGTAATGACGATGATGATGATGATGATGATGAAGTTCATGATGTCAGATAATGATAATGATGTTGACAACCACATTAATGACAATAAAAGAATATAAGAAAAATGACAACAAGGACAATATTGATAATGTTGGTAATGAGTTAAGATTAAGTTGGTGATGAAAAGATGATCTAGATAAAAGAGTTAGTAGCATTGAGTGCTGATGATGACTATAATTATAATGATAATAGAATCTATCACTTTTCTTACCTTGTTTCTGTGGACGGTGCTGATGTAGAAGGGAGATGCATTTTCCTGATATAGTCGGCTAGCTACAGGCACAATCTTAGCACAGCGTCTATTAATAATAGAGATAAAAGTTCAACATCATCTTTACTAGCAATAACATTAAGCAAAACTGTACAGCAGCGCATGTTGTTTATTAATTATATGAAAAATCTTAACTTACGCATCAGAAAATCTCATTTCCAGGTCTAAAGAAGCCTTCAAGTTGATAAAGTGACTCTGCAACTTACTGTCTACGTTTTCACCAAAGAACAAAGCGTGCACTTTTTGGGATATCTCATGCCACTTTTGCAAAGTTGGTACCTTAATTCAATGAAAGGAGGTATGTGTAACTTATATTTTATATATAATATATTTTGAGTATTTCAGCTCAATTATCAATAAGCCCATAACCAAGATTACTTGTGAGGGGGTGGGGTGTCCCCCTGCAAACTCAGGTTGACATGGTGTCCTTAAAGAAAAGAACAATTGTAGAGGCAGGAGGAAAAGTCTCCTGAAGCAATCTAGCATGTACTGTACATGGTGAGTTTCACCAACATTCTTCTGGTCTTGATGTAAAGTGAGGTGGTGGTTTGGGTTATCAGGGATTTGCTCAAAAAAGTTTTTAGTAAAACCATAGAAACCTACTGGTTACAGAATTCCAACACTGGATCTGTCATGTACAAAAGTAATATATATTTACAGATATACTTGATATTGATTGGCTAATGAAATGCAATTTACACTTAAACCAGTTTATCTTGTAAATTTGTAACCAACTCTCTATACAATTACGATTTTCACTCACCTCTAGGTGTGATGGGACTGCTCCCCTAACAAGCCCATCGTCAAACCCCTTCTTTTGTAACACCAGCTTTACATGCTGCATTAAAAAAGCCTTCATAGATTCATCTTCACCTTCGCCTGCAGGAGTCGATGGTCCATCAACGGATGACCATGTGGAAGACCGTGATCGGCGCATCTCATTTTGGCTTCTGAGTTTATTTGTCACTGCATATTGAAAACATTAAATGATGATAACAAATTACAAAATTGGAAGCACAGAAAGTAATGATAATAACAAAGTAAAAAAAAGCCATATTATTAAAAATGAAAATAGAGGGGGAATAAATTCAAATATTACTCATTTAAAAGAGTCACATATTAATTCAGAACTTTCAATGAGGTACAGAAAGATATTATTTTTCGCAGGCAAGTTCCATTAGGAATCTGGCTTACTCCCTATATTAGTTCATTCATTTAAGTATTCACGAAAAAGAAAAAAAAATAACAACAGGTGTATATTTACAATCAATACTAAAAATTGAATACAAATATTGAAATTGAATACAAATTGAAAACAATACAAACTTGAAACAAAAAAAGCAATACTTTTAATGCGGTAAATTGTGTAATGTGCGTGCAATAAAACAATTCCAGTCCATTCTATTGAACACAGTATAATTAATTAAAGTGAATGAATGTATAAATCAAGAATGAATGAATTAAAAAATAAATGAATGAACAAACAAATTTATCATTATTTGTATAAAAAAAAGAATATATATTCAGCACACCTGTTCTAGTGTTGGTTAAGTTCTCACTAAGATTAGAGATGAGCAAATGGACAGGGTCTTGTAATTGCTGTGCATCTCTCAGGATATATACAAATGCCTGGTTCGCAGGGATTGTAAATAAGCAGTGAGATCTGTAAACAACCAATAAGGTTAAACAAACATGGGTCATTTGAATATTTTCTTTATTAACAGATTAAAATTGGCTTATACAGCTGTAGGAAAGTTGTTTATGCACTAATAGCACTAATTTTCCAACTAGTGCCTAGAAAAAGTATACTAAATGCTTATTATTGTTGTCAATCATTTTTACTTACATATTGTTTGTCAGAACACGACTTTTTCTGAGAATCTTGTAAATCTGGTCTTCTAATGAGTGCTCAAGTTTCTGTATTGGAGACTTTCTCTGCAGAATAATTATTTTATCTTTAAATACCGAAATAGTAATATATAATGATGAATTAAAAAATAAATATATAAATAAAGCAATGCATCGGATTCCAGGGTAACATATTGATTACATACACACCTTTTGTCTTGACCTTCCAACTTGCTTAGAGTCTGGAGTATCTGTTACCTCCTCTTTTGACAAACCACTCTAAACATAAATGGTTACACAATCATAAAATTTTTAAAATTAATACTTTTCAAAATATGTCAATGTTTTATGTATGATGAAATACATTTCTGTTACAAATACTAGATTAGATTTTATTATAAACTGTATTTTCAACATGACAAATTGATCTGCAAAAAAAACTGAAAGTGATAAAAAAAAAAAAAAAAAACAGTGTGTCCAAGAAAAATTTATAACTAGAAACCTTTTTTTCATTTAGGGTTTGGAATTAGAATTTTTCAAAAAAGGTTGATCAAAATAATCCACAATAGTGTAATAACCAGCACTGAGCATCAGATTAGTTACCTTCTGACAAATAAACAATAGCCTAGGGGTGCACATCCTACCAGTTGTCTGCCAATCACGTGCCACCCCTTCATCTTTCAAAACTCCACTCAGATGAGGAATCAACTTAGTTCTAAGAAATATATAAAATAAATTAAAACACTTTGATTCTGAAAATCAATACAGTATATTTATTTATTTAATCAAATAAAATATTATCCTTTTCTTTTCTTGCTTTAATTACAGTATGTGTTTATTAGATAATATTTTCATCACAGGTAAGTAAGAAACTAATTTTTTAGGAAACATAAAAGATGACATCATTTTCTGTTAATAAACTTAGGAAATACAACAAAGATTTTACAATTGTTGAGAAAATTAATGTATCTTGCCGATCATTTGGTTCTATCATTCATGATTTGCACAACAACAGTGATGTTAGTAAACAAGACTGCAGAAGATTTGAAAAACTTCAAAAACAATTCAGAAAAGCTGAAGCGGACATGAATTTTCTCATAATTTTGTGTTAAATATTAATAAATTTAATCTACCTTGCTGCCTCAACCTGTCTGAACATTTGAACATATGAGATATCAAAAACACTTGTTGGATGAACAACCTAAAAAAAGTCAAAAAAAAAATCATCATTAAAATCGATCTGTTACACTTTGTGGCAATGCGTTCTCCATAGAAGCGCGCTGGCCGCCGACTGTCAGGCAGGTGTGAGTGCCGGCTTTTGCTATCAAGGACAAGGGATGGAATTGTGACTTGGTGATAAATACCAGTGCTTTGTGTGTAATTCCTGTGCCCTGGGGCTTGTCGTTTCTTTATGACTAAAAACAACTGTCACACAATGTAAAGAGAGTGTATAATGCCTATGGAACAATAGGTAGAGCATCAAAACAATATGTCAAGTCTCTGGTTCAAATCTCAAGATGATCATTTATACTTTACTTACAACAATAAGATGACATGTCACAAACAAAAATATTAATGCTCTGGCAAAGTAGGCTTCATTTCCCTTCAAAAACTGATGCCATTCCTGAAAAAAACAAAAAGCAAATGCCAATAATAATAAGATGATAAAGAAGGAAAATGAGCATGCCAAAAAGAGGTAGTACAATTTTAGTATTGTTTTGTTTCTCTTCAATATATTAGCTCCTAGCTTTGAGTGAATGTTATGAGGCTAATTATTTTTAAAATTAAATTTTGCATTTAAAGAAATAAAATTATTTATAGAATTAAAGGAAATCTATCTCATCCAATATATTGATAATGTGAATAGTAATAATAAATGATGATGATAATTAATGATGGTGGAAAAATAATGATGGTAATGATGTTGCAAAATGGTGATGATGATAATGGCTATGTGATGATGAAAATGGTTAATTATGAAGATGATGATGATGATGATGAAGACTGTTATAATGAGTAGAGATGATGAAATGAATATGATGATGTTAATGAATATGATAATTAATATGATATTGGTCTTGCTTGATGAGGTTGATGATGATGATGATAATATTATATATTGATGAAGGCAATGACAGTGAAGAACAACTACAATGACGATGATGCTAATGATAATTATGGCAAGGTAGATACCTAAAATATAATGACCATCATCTAGTGTAACAAAAAAAAAAATGGTTTTCTCACATTACTAGAAAGTTGATTTTCAATATTGGCTGCTAGATGATGGAGATGATGGACATCAAAAACAGAAACTAAATGTAGGTAGACAATGTTTTCCTTGTTGTCATAGTAATATTCAATATGACATTCCTCCTGTGAAGAATCTTCCAAGTTTCTCAAGTTCTTTGTCTGTAAAGAAGATAAATTTAAAAAAAAAAGGATCATCAAGTTAAAAAAAAAACCCAGTAGAAATACTTTCTTTAGGACAATATTTTTACAAGGATTAGTCAGGGCACACTCAAATGATAACCTTATACTATGCAAATTAGAATGATAGCAGGCCTATGCCTGGACTGGAATGATGTCCATTTATTGAAAGAAGGCCAGCCTATGCTACCTACCTACCTAGGCCTAATCAGTGTTTTTTTTTTAACTTTACCAACACACGATTCTCTGGCAAAACCCTCCGTTTGTCGCATTTTCTAATTTTCCAGAAGCACCCTAAACATTCGAGAATCAGAATTTTGAAAATTTTCATGTTTTTGCATTTTATACAGGAAGATATATTGAAGAACATTTCTATACAATATCAATCACTAAATCTAACTGAAAAGTACATTAAAATTATTTTTAAAATACAATTCTTAATAATAAATTATTGATTTTGGTATCTTTGGAAGCTGTTTTATCAAAACCTACATCTGATATCCAATGAAATAAATATTCATAACTTGGGTAATACTCAACCAATTTCAATCAAATGAACACTGTTTTAAATAGGTGGGCACACACTAGCTACGTAGTGACTCGATAAGAAGAAGAAATAGGTGGGCTATAAAAGAGTGATATTTCAAACACCAAATGTACAGGTTTTAAATGAAGGGGCTTATTGTCCTGAATATTTTGACACTTTAAGAAAATTGGTTGAAAAATGGAACAGTGTGGGCCAAAGAACAAAATTGAGGGGTGGGGGCAAAACGACCCCTTCGGTGTTAAAAATACATTAAAAAAAGGTCATAACTTTTTTATCTGATATTTTGGTAATATTAGTATTTATGTTTTTGAGGCCACGGAATGCATTAGTGGTGTCAGAAATAGCTTAAAAATAATACTATACTGTGTAACCATAGTGTTGCGACACATAGAAGGTTTATCAATAACACGAAATTTCAGGAGCATTTGCTTATCTACAGAGGCTATCCACTCAATGAAATAATTAGAAAATTGTATTTATTGTATAATGATTACCAAACACTGCACAACTTGCTTGCTGAGATCCCAGGATTCAATGACTTTTTTGGAGAATTTTGTGTAGATTTGTACAGTGCGCAACCGGCAGTCAGAGGCATTAATAAAAAAAAAATTATTATTATTTTTTTTTTTTTGCACATCACAATTTAATGCATAAATACAGTATAATAGTTTTGCTTGCTGCAAACCCCTAGATGTACTACTGTTTTGTTAAATAGTGTAAAAGATAACCTTTGGTTCTGGAGGCATTTGATCAAGATAATCTTCATGGTCGGTGGAACAAAACATTTTTTCCATGCTTGATTGTTACTGATTAATGATGGGAAAAAAAATTCCTTAAAAAAGGTGTCAAAATGTTCAGGACAAAAAGCCCGCTTCATTAAGACCTGTACATTTGGTATTTGAAATATCCTTTTTTGACCTTGTATAGCCCTCCACTATTTTAAAGACTTCATGTAGAATTTCAAAATACCAAAAAATCAATTTAGAAATTTTTTCTACAAACAGACGGGTTTTGCCAGAGCCAGTCACATATTATAAAAATACAGTACCTTGAACACTGGCTGTGATAGTATCCCATTGATAACAAGTGATTTTGACCTGTAGCCATGACTACCTTTGCCTATTACACCAATCACACAAACGCTATCATCTGCACCAACCAGTTTCCTGTAATATGAAAGAAATTGAATGCTTAGCAAAAGTAAGGAGCAGCTTAGCTCAGTTGGCTTATCTGGTGGTAGCCACTGTGTCTGCACTGAACCGTGGAAATATCTAGGTCCTCGGTCCAATTTCCATCGCTGCTTCTCCTTGTGTTTCAGAGGGCTGAAATACAAGTTACAATAGCGCATCATCTTTCGGATGAGACGTTTAAGCTGTAGGTCCTGTGTGCACGTTAAAGAACGCAGTACACTCTTCAGAAAAAGAGTAGGGATTGTCTCCCGGTGTACTGCCCTATCACCACCAGGAGGACCCCACTGGAATATCTTTTTAAATTTTGTAAAGTTCTTTGTATATGGTTTGCCAACAACGAAGTAATTTCTTGTATTGTACTCTTACTTTCAAGACCAATAAAAGTTCTGTATTCTGTATTCAGTAAATACAGTGTTCGAATACAGGATTCGAATAATAATAGTAATACATTGACTTGGGGCCAAGTTGACTTGGGGCCGAGTTGACTTGGAACCGAGTTGACTGGGGCCAAGTTGACTTGGGGCCGAGTTGACCTGCTTCCAACTGGATTATTATGATTGGGGCCTAAATTATATTACAGTAGGCTACAGTTATTATTATTATTATTATTTACTGGATACTGCTTCTGTAGTAGTAAAAACTTCCTACAGCTGCAATCAGTCCTTCTTCATTTGAGGCCATTATTTTCTCTTGTCACTCGCGAGCATCCTTAGCTCCCCTAGTTTCATACATACTCCAAGTTTCGAAATGCACGCCATCATGTCGGGATTCAATATTTCGACATTAATTATGTCATCATCAGGAATACAGTATCAGGCTATAGTATTAATAATAATATAAACGATTTATTACCACTTTATTAGTAGGTAGGCATGACTTGGTTCAAACGAATTTCCGTAAAGATTGACTAGGCCTTGGCCTAGACTCATTAAAAATAATGCTATCTATCTATAATCTATGACCTTAATGGCGCACCATAAATGCTGTCTATTTAGCGAATTAACTCCAGCAAAAAACATATTTCAAATAGCAGTATCTCCACTAATAAATATTGGTCCGATTTACATAATTTTTGTTTTAAAATGCTTCATTCAGTTATTATGTCTTTGTATTAAAAATAAATAAAAAATATTTGGGACATTTAAATTTGTTTTGTTTCTAGCTACCATTATTAGTAGGCCTAGGAGAGCTAGGTCGTAGAGCCCCTGCGCTAGGGCCAACTTATCCTCCTAGGCTAGGGCCTAGCTAGGCCTATTGGGCTGGGCCTAGCCTAGCCTAGGCCTACTTACTACTCTGTCTCAAACATCATGGCTTTCGGTATAAAATTAGGGCCAAGGCTGAACTTACTTCAGGTCTGACTGCATGGGAAATTGTGATGGTTCCAACATTTTGCAAGCTGAATGCACACATCTGAGTCCGTGCTTACACCTAATTGGGTATTTCGAGGAAGTATACAACAATTTGACCGAATTACTTCCAGATAACACTCCAGTAATGACTTTTTTTTATTGGCTTTTTAAGCACGCGAATCGATTTAGTAGAAGTTTTTTTAGTACAACCAATGTTTCGTCGATTTTCAATAATAAAAGGAAACCTTCACTAGTTTTTTGGTTAACATGTTTGTTTTCTTCAGCTTTTAAACTATAAAGATAAGTAAGTTTGAAATAATATTTGTGAGCATATTAATTGAAATAGATGGCATAAAATTCTAATTGTCTTATTACGTACCGCAGCTAGGCTCGGCTCGTACGAATAGAGTGCGCCCTCGTTAGTTTGCGGCGGCCACCATGTTGTCTGAGGCCTGCAATTAGGCCTAGAGTTATGCGATTCAATATAATTTATTATACGTAGAATCTATAAGTTGATAAAAATTATTAAATCTAATATAAATATATATACTAAAATACTAAATTATAATCGTTGGTAATTATCAAGAGTCAAGTATTATTTTAACATGGTCTAAAATGCTACATAATAATACTGTAATAAGGGACACACTTCTATATAATAAAAACAATAGGAATTAACTCCAGCAAAAAACATATTTCAAATAGCAGTATCTCCACTAATAAATATTGGTCCGATTTACATAATTTTTGTTTTAAAATGCTTCATTCAGTTATTATGTCTTTGTATTAAAAATAAATAAAAAATATTTGGGACATTTAAATTTGTTTTGTTTCTAGCTACCATTATTAGTAGGCCTAGGAGAGCTAGGTCGTAGAGCCCCTGCGCTAGGGCCAACTTATCCTCCTAGGCTAGGGCCTAGCTAGGCCTATTGGGCTGGGCCTAGCCTAGCCTAGGCCTACTTACTACTCTGTCTCAAACATCATGGCTTTCGGTATAAAATTAGGGCCAAGGCTGAACTTACTTCAGGTCTGACTGCATGGGAAATTGTGATGGTTCCAACATTTTGCAAGCTGAATGCACACATCTGAGTCCGTGCTTACACCAATATTTTTCACGAAAAATTGTAACTTATATTTATAGGCTTATATATTTATAGGCTATTCCGACTTTCTACACTATCTATCAGTATCACCGACGGCATCACCGATCAGAGCCGTAGTTTACTACCCACCGCCGAGCGAGAAACAAGGATGGAGGATGGATGGTGGACACTTTTTCCGGAACCTGAAATCCCGGTTATCAGACGAGCAGTCTGCGTCCTTAGTGCGTTTTATTTAAAAATGAAACGCGTTTATATGAACACTGGTGGCGGCGTGCTTCAGTGACAGTCTGCATGCTGTGTAATCATGGTTACGATCAACGCCCCTCGGCAGCTCTCTCTGTAAATTCTGGTAGATTGATCGGGAGTTTTTTTAGCCTTGGCTAGAGAGGTTTGGAAATTGATCAGTAATTTAACGGGTTTTTTCGTGATTATGATACACTGGGACTATCATTGGTGAGTATCATATTACATTGTTTCTTAGTTGTAGCAGGGAGTTGGTTATTCATAGTGAGCATCGATACGACTCGAATACAGATCATCTCGGTCGCGCCTTGTTTGTACGTCTTTTTCACGAATCGGTAGTAGACATCTTGAAGTGATGACAAACATTGCGAATCAGTGGTGCGTAACCAACAGAAATAAGATAAGCTTTTGGGCTGATTTTCTGACATCATGTTATTTAAAAAATCATAACTCCATAACGGGGCGTCATATCCAAAAAGTGTTTCCAGGAAAATGTTCTTAAAAGACCAGTCTACACCACTATATGATTGAAAAAAAATTGAAAAATTTTTTTGACCTCTGAAATCAAGATTGAAAAAGAAAAGCCTATCCTAGTAGTGTATTAAAATAGGCCAATGCATTACAGTGCAGTAGCATAGGACTTTCGAGTTGTTACTGTTCCAAGTAGCGATAATATACATATTTCTCTTATTACAAAGTACAAGTTATGTTTTATAAAGAGGTATAGTATAGTAAATCATGTTTTTAACACAGGAAACTCTCATATGGTAACTAAAACAATGCTAGTTCAGAGTATTACTAGTACTACAGCACTGTAATGCATATACCTATTTTAATACACTACTGAGATAGGCTTTTATTTTTCAATCTTGATTTCAGAGGTCAACAAAATTTTTCAATTTTTTTTCAATCATATAGTGGTGTAGACTAGTTTTTTAAGAACATTTTGCTGGAATATTTTTTTGGATACGACGCCCCATTATAGAGTTATGATTTTTAAAATAACATGATGTCAAAAAATCCGCCCAAAAGCTTATCTTATTTCTGTTGGTTACGCACCGCTGATTCGCAATGTTTGTCATCACTTCAAGATGTCTACCGATTCGTGAAAAAGGCGTATTGTTATGCATTTCTCGGTCGCGATAAACAGCCTCAGTATGGAACGCCGATGTACGCACTAGTGTTTTATGTTTGGAAAGTAATTTTTTAAAAGGTTCGCATCTCGCACAGTGTGGTAGTTCGAGTAGGCCTGAGATATGTTTTTTTAAGTGTCAAAATCTCGGTCAGAATCTTTTTTTTAACAAATTTGAAATAATAATATGAAATATTATATTTCACAAGTGTCAATACTATACTAGCAACGGAAATATCATGTCGGCCGTTTTTATGTGAGATAACAGAACCTAAATTGAGGTAAGGCTAGGCTTAGCCTAGCAGTTTTGGATAAGCTAATGTTTTCGACGCCTACTATATTTTTTCGTAGACCTGTCGCAAAATCAAACATGAAAAATTCATCCGCATTTATTTTTTGTGTGGAACACAAAAAATGAAATTTCAGTCTTATTTTACATTTTTTTCATGCTTGGGAATGTCTAAATTCAGTTAAACTAAATTTTACCGAGAATGAATTTGTTTTAATCAAATATACTTTTATATCAGAATATTAAAGCCCCATTCCCGGCAAAATTTCTGTTTTTAAGAAAAATCTAATTTTTGTATAATGTTATAAAGATTTATAAATATAATACGGAATTGCTAGTTTAACTGAATTTAGACATTCCTAAGAATGAAAAAAATGTAAAATAAGACTGAAATTTGATTTTTTGTGTTCCACACAAAAAATAAATGCGGATGAATTTTTCATGTTGATTTTGCGATAGGTCGTGAGAAGAATTATCGTAGGCGCCGAAAACATTAGCCTATCCAACGCTGCTAGGCTAGGCCCTAGCATTACCTCGATTTAGGTTCTGTTATCACACATAAAAACGGCCGACATGATATTTTCCGTTGCTACTGACACTTGTGAATACAATATTTCACAGGAATTATTTCAAATTTGTTAAAAAACTGATTCTGACTGAGATTATGACACTTAAACAAACATATCTCAGCCTAACCGAACGACTGCATTGTGCGAGATGCGAAGTACAAAAACTAATCTCATTAGAGAGGGTGCACTTTATTGACTGTATAAAAGTATACATAAAAGCTGAATTTGCCTAGTAACGATGAATTCGTCCAGAAAATGGTAATATTTTATGAGAAATAGTCTGTATTTCTCTTTTTTTTTTATACTTTTGCATAAAACTAAAATTCATGCCAATATTTTTCCATGATTTATAATAATTGGAGTAATGCAAATGAATATTTTCTAAAAAAAGTCAGTTTTTAGTGAAATTTTGCCGGGAATGGGGCTTTAAAATATATGTATTTGTACATTCCATTTAAAGTATAATATTTTACAATTCGTGTATTTTTTTTATAAATATCATCAGATTGATAACTCGAAGTTAATGGTGACATGAAGTAGGTAAATGCACTTGAACACCTTCACTGCCACTGCCTGCCATGAACTGCTAAAAATAGCTAGTCATCTATATTTAGCATCTGACCTACTTATGTCTTGGCAGTTTAATGCGTTTACATTCCTGAAGGCGGCATACAAAGAATATGCCTTCTCACCCCCATGAGCACTGTGGGAACCTTGGTTGTGGGAAAGTTTCTTTCTGATTTTATGGTTAGTTACCTGGCAACAAGTACAAGAGGCCTTGATGAAGAGTGAGTTTTTCTAGCTTTAGAAGGAAGCTCGCCCTGAAGACCGAAACCGTGAAATGGCTATTAACATGTATTTAAAATTATATACAGTATTAACATTTTACTATGTATTTTATAAACATCAGAATAGGCCGTATGTATAAAAAATGGAAATAAAACAAACAAGAAATAAAAACCTTGTGCTGCTTCACCTCAAGAGTACCATGGGAATCTAGTTTGTGGGAAATTAAATTCTAACGCAACTATAGAACAGGACTAGAAAGAGTCATTTTGTCGGGCTTTTGAATATAAAAGAAGCCTGAAATGGGCCATTAAAATGTACAGTGTTTAATTATAAATACATTGAAAATTTTATGTGGAAAATAAATATGAAAATACTATGTATTTCCTTCATTTTCATTCATCATAATATGTTCATTTATCAAATTATAAACATGATCAGAACATTTAAGATAAATGGAAATGTAACAGACAAGAAAACAAATGTATGAAAAACTAATCTATTGACTATATTTGTTTCATTAATAAAATATATATCGCAACAAACGTTAAAGAGAAACTTGTTTCAAACCAAGTCGACTTTGTAACATTTTCGTTGTTTCTGTAAAAAAAGAAAAATAACACCAAGTGATACACATAACATTAATAATCATAAACTATAATATTATAGTAGAGTAATACAAATAATTGTTAGTCAACTAATGTTTTATGTAAGTTTTGTGTTTATAAAAATACTATACTGCTTAGCTACCTTGTTCTAGATTTGCGGTCGCACCGTCGGCGCGCCATGCACCGCGACCGAAATGCATAACGAAAACAGTGCAACCGAAATGAATGCGCGACCGAAATGATCCGATACCGATTAGGCTAGCCCACCAAGCCAAAGGCAAGCCAAAGCACTCATTAGAAAAAAAGCCTAGGTAAGAAATTACCAACCCTGTCCTTGACGAGACGTTGGGTTCACAGTGTTATCTTAAATAAAATATTTGGTTCTGAGGAATAGAACGGGTATTGTTCCAGTAAAAACTTCAACCCGGGCTTCAACCGCTTTCAAAGCAAATATTTATTTCATAATTTTGAAGTCATCCTTGGATTTTTAGGTCAATTCGGCTGCGAACAATTTCGGCCATGCCCCGTCGAAAGTCTGTGTATGGAGACGCCGATTGAATAATAAATGCGCTTAATTGGTTGAGCGCTGTTGTGCTGCAATGGAATCGCACTCACTAATTATTAATAATATGACTTTTTTTTCCGCTTCCGATTTTCTGTAATATGAACGGACAGACATAAAATTAAAAAGGGTCAAATAAACCAGAAATTTAAAAGTTCCCCTGTGACCCCCCTTACTTAAATTTTAAAATACCTGTGATATGTCAAAAGAAAGAATCCAAAATTTCAGCTTCAATTTCCAAGCGGTTTTAAAGTATGCTGGACCTTTTGAAATTTAGGTACATTACAAGCTTGTCCGATGGTGTGTGAAGGTGGAGCAATTTTGCCCTCTGAACGGACTTACAGACTGTTAAATTGGAAAATTAATTCAGGTGGAGAAAAATGATCATGCCTTAATATATACACTGTATGTCATGATATAATGTATTTTTATTAGTAAACAGGTTGTTTGAAATATTTTTTTACAGTACTATATAGTTGCAAGATTATCACTATGGGAACTGGAGGTTCAAAATTCAAAAAGTCTAAACCACAAAAAGTAGTTGCAGAAATTATAGTGCCAGGTCAGTCGGCTCCAATCAAAGTCAAAGGTCAAGTCAATATATCTTCTGATGACATAAGTCAAAATTCTGGAGCAAAGGTCAAAGAAGTTGGACCAAACAAGTTTAGCATTCAACTTGGTAACCAGGATGTAGCAGTCAGTACATTTTAATTATTTTCATTTCATAATTTTTTTTTTTTTTGCAATATGTAACCCAGACTTCTAACATTATGTTGTTAGAATGAAACATTACAGTTAGGTGTTGAAAACGTTATTTTTTAGAACCCAAAAATATGTACTTACAAGGTAATTTCACAACTACTGTACATAATAAATTTCAACGCAAGAGTTATTTACCCCACTGGCTACAACTTGTTCAAATGTATGTTGTATGGCCTACAGTATGATAATTCTTGAAATTTCTTGACATTGTTGCTTTTGCTAATAGACGTTCAATACAGACACCGACTTCCATGCTTACCTAACTAATGCTGCAGAGCTTAAAGTCACCAACATAGAGACTGTGCCTGATGAAGATAATGATGGTAGTGGTGAAGCTGATCACACAATGTTTGATTCCAGTTACTCTTTTCAACTTACTCCCTCTGTAAGTTTACTTGCTTACTTTAATAATAATTAATGACAATAGTGTCAGTTGCGATAATGACAACAAATTACAATATTATTACTGTACAATGAATAATCATGAAGGATTATCTTGAAGTGTTTTCTCATACTCCTGCACAAAAAAAAAGGAAAATGTTAACCAGGGGTGCCAAAAGATTTGATTGAATATAATTTTAAAAGCTAAATGAGTTTTACTTTCTTTTAAGAGTTCGGATGACTATTCAGATGATGAAGACTGGAGTGACATCATAAATAATATTGATGATCAAAGTTCATCTGATGAAATCGATGGAGCAGATAACAGTGAAGGTAGAAAAAATAATGATTTTGATATCAATAATGCTAAATAGTGTCTATCATCAGATAACATTAAGGTAAAACCTTAGTCAGTCCTAGTAGTCTCCCTAGTAGTAGTCGTAGTAGTCTGTTAGTTGTCTTTAATTGGAGGGAGATCTGTACTCTGTACTTTTGAGCCAATTTTTATCAAAATTGTATATCATGCAGTTTGAGTTTGATCTCCAGAATTATGAGCTAGATATCGTATCACTTTAACACTTATGACAAGAGTTTCATTCAATCAAAACTGGCATTACTGTAGGCACCAAAGTAGTAGTACATACTGCTTTCTTATTTATTTTCTTTAATTTGATATTATATGAATCTTCTAATTTTAATACTCTTTGTTATAAAGTAATTTTCTAATACAAATGATATGATGATCAGAAATTTATATTGGTAAAAAAAATTTAGTTTCTACAAACTCAACATTCGTGAAATTTTCCAGCCAAGCAACGCAAAACACAGCTTAAGAAAACCCTGCAGGCTAAGCGTGCCAACCTAAGCCCAGAGGAATACCAGCAAATGATTTCAAACCATAAACAAGAGATGGAGTTGATGGAGATGCTTCGACAAAAAGAGCTTGATCGACAGAAGAACAGTCTTGCATCGAAGGTAGCTGATAGGAAAAAAAAGCGGTTGGCAATGAAGCAAGAAGCCATGCAGAAAAATCAGCTCACAACTCAGGTATTGTGATTTTACTGCATGAAAGACCCAGTTTAAACAGACGTGCTGTCTCAGTTAAATATATTAGTTTATGGTTATCTAATTTACTGTACTTGTATAGTAGATCAATATCTGGCAGGGTTCCAAACTTTAGAGAAGCCACTTCCAGGAGATATGCTTTCTTTAAGCTCTGTTTACACTATCAAATTTTCTTTGTCAAAAGAACTGTTGTATGCCCATATATAGTCATGATGTGCCTATATATGGTCATGATGTGATGTCAACATTACCATCCATATTTTGGCATGTCACATGTTTTGGTTAAATATAATTTGATTGTCTGGACAGGGTTTAACACATCTAATTTTATATTGCTTGTGATGATGCCCTTGGCCAAAAGTCTTCAGGTAAGCAAGCTTTACAGAAAAATACATGTCAGTATGTCCAACATTTTATCAGGTCACAAATATTAAAGTTGAGAAAGAGCTTGAAAAGCAGACTGTGGAAGAATCAGAAATGGAGAAGCTTAAGCTACATGTACTAACGCAAACGAACACCGAAATGGAAGAGGAAATAAACCAACGCAACAAAGACTTTGATGAGCAGATGCGAGATGTTCGCCCTTTCATTTCGGAGAAAGAATACCGTAAACTACTGCTGCAGCATAAAGCACAGGTCGGTGCTCTGTCAAGAAAGCTTGAGATTGGCAAAAACAACCAACGAATACATTTGATGGAGAAGCTAGCTCAGCGATGTAAAAGAGGAACATCAGACAAGAAGGTACCATAACATTCAAACTTTAATTTTATTTGCCATATTTTGTAGAATTATTTATGTAATGTAAATTGTGAATGGTATAACAGTTATATTAAATATTTACAAGGTTTTTTTGTTAGCAGCAATTAATAATTTTATATGCAACTTTCCTTGAAACTCAGACAGAGAAACCCCCAAGTTCAGAGGAAGTGAAAGAACTTCAGCTAGCCTTAAACACAAAAGAGGTGGATTTCAGAAAGGACTTGACGAGAACTAGATCCACATTGACTGGTCAAGAATCTGAACGACTGATTAAAGAACATAAGCAAGAGATGCAAGTCCTTCAACAACAGCTGGAGGTGGATCGAACCAACATGCAGCAGAACCTGATAAAAAGGCTTAAAGCACGAATGAAGAATGATCAGGTATGAATTATTATTGTTTGTTGTTATTATTCTATTGTCATTGTGTTGTGGTGGTGGTATTCTTTATTATCTCCGCCAGGAGATATATATTTTCAGTCGTGTAAGTTGGTGTGTGCTGCTGCACAGATCTAAATGAAAGTTACAGAGAGTGTTGGGTATGACCCAATGAAGAAATGATTAAATTTTGGTGACGATCCAGAGTAGGGTGTGGATATGAGGACGATTCAAAAGAAAAAGTCTCAGACCAGATATTTCAAAAACTAATCGACTGATTTGAATGAAACTTTCGTGAAAGTTTAACCAACTTACAAGGAAGAAATCATTCGGGTGTGCATTTGAGTGTCATTAGGTCCTAAATATCTCTAAAATAGATCAGTGGATCAAAGTAAAACTTACCAGAATAGTTTGTCATTTTCTCAATTAAAAAATGTTAAAATTTTGGTGACGATCCAAAGTAGGGTGTGGATATGAGGACCATTTAAAGAATATGTTTATACCGTAGGCAGATACAGTAGCTGTATGATGAATGTTCAAATTAGTGCAATTAAAGTGTGTATGGTGTTTTATATACAGTATACTAACTTCACTTACTTGGGAACTGATTGGGATTATTTTAATGCATTTTTATACTTAAACATGTGATGCTAAAAACGAATACCCTATATTTCTTATAATTCGACTATTTGCATAATATTTCCATTTCAACACCAATACTTGGCATGTATTTTTACTATAAAAGTAAAATTTTCCTGTGTGTTTAACCAGAAGAAGTAAGGAATTGGTAGGTATACAACTAATACAATGAAAGGCATTTCCAGTTGGCTGGGTTTGTGTATTTTTTTTAAGTAGTTGGTGGTTGTAAAATTAGGTGGGTTGTCACATTGTTTACAGCTTCAGTAGTGGAAAATAAAGTTTTTAAATATTATGTGATACTTGAATTTTGTGTTCGAAACGTAACTTGTGTAGTGTAAAGGCCGACAGTGAATTTTGGGCAAATCATTTCGGATTACAATATCTATAAATTTCACCTATAAAAAAAAGTCCTACAAAACAAAGACTGAAATTTAAAATAGTGCTCCTCTTTGAAATAAAATGTGTTTTTGTGTGTTTTTGAAAAGTGGAGCGATTTGAGTTGGGGTGTTAGTGGTTGGTGGTGGTTGAAGTAAATTAAGAACATTTTTTGGGAGGTTTATTTCTTGGGATTTGCGTTGGCAGGAGATATGTTCAGTACTGAGTGCTCTTGTTATAATTATTCTTATAAGGGTTAAGGTAAGATATGATAAGATAAGATAAGATAAACTTTATTGTCATAACCACAAAACAAGATGAACATAAAATTTGGTTTCCTTAATATATAACAACACAAATAATGCAGTATGCAACAAAGTAAAAAAAAATAGTTGCAAAAATAATATATATGAAAGACTTAAAAATATATACAGTACAATATACAAACTGTTTCTGAAAAGTTGGGTAGTAAATATAGGTTATGAACAATGGCTTTCCTGCACTGTGTTGTCTTGGATTCCAATGGAGTCTTCCTGAGTTATTTACAACACAATCGTTGTTTAAAGCTATCATAATTTTTCTTAACTTCTGTTATATGTTATAAATATATTATTTTATTATTAGTACTGTATAAGTTTAAGGCTGCTCCTCAAAGCTTTCCTTAATAGACTGAGGATTCAAACAATGTTACCACCTCTTCAATTAGATGCACAAAAAGCTGTTCAACTGCCACAGCTGTCTGACAAGCTTTTTCTTTTTCTCATTACCTGATTTTAGACTCAAGAGGGCACCTTCTTTTCTGCTGAAGATCTAAAGCAGTTGCAGTTAGTTATTGATTCCCAGTCTCAAACAGCGAATAATGAATTAAAGAAACAGAAAAATAATTTGTCAAAAGATGAATATAGCAAGTTGATGACAAACCAGAGGAATGAAAGAGAAACTCTGCAGAGGCATCTTGAGAGTGAAAAGACAAAGACAGATGAATGGTTAAGGAGGAAAATGGCTACCAGAAGCCTCAGAATTGACTCTTCAAATTCTATGATCAAGGTACAAAATTTACAATTTAGTCACCATGGCTTGAACATTCTGTGATTGGTCCAGTGGTCACTTTGAGGTCAGGGTTTTGAATACCCAGCTGTGCATATTTACCCAGTACTGCTTATTTATATTATTTGGTGAATATTTATTTTCATGATCAAGGTACAAAATTTAGTAATTTTAGTAACTACAGCTTTAACACAAACTCTGCGATTATTGCAGTGGATACTGTCCAAATTTTCAACTTTGAGGTCAGGGTTTTGAGTATAAGCTCTGCATATTGCTTTTGGAGATTGTTAAAAAAAGAAGCAATTTTACATATATTTGGTAGTAATAAACTATTTTACTTTCATGTTAACAATTTATCACTACTACTAAAGTGTTCCAAATCAGTTACAGCTAGGATCAATTGACAATCTTTACCCTCAACCTATAAAATTTCCACAACATGGTATATACAATACACTGAAAATTCACTGAACTTCACTGAGTATGTGCTATGGTTAAAACTGTCCATGTCACCCTCAATATACCGCTGTTACACTGTAGGTCTAGTTTGAGTCTCAATAATGTTGAGTTGTTCATGTAATTTTTTTTACTTCATATTATTTCTTAATGGTTTTTTTATACATAATGAGCACTGATGTTGAAATTATTTTTAAAAAATCGTTATTGTCTCAGACAAACATTCACAGTCATTGCTTGAAATGGAAATTATATTTCTGCAGTAAGCTTATCTAGTGAATATAATGGCAAACAAAAACTATACAAAGTGAATAGAGTAGTGAAACATAGTAGGATAGTGAATAGCAAGATGAGAATGTATGCATAATCATGTTTATTTTGATTTAAATGGGTTGACAGTAAAACTCAAGTGATTGATAAATAACCAAAGTCTATACAAACCTCCATATAATCCTCCATTTTCTTTGATAAGAAAAAAATAATCAAGATCAAAACAAATAGTATGCATGTGGGTCATTCTTCAGTAAAGTGAACATTTAGTGGTTTAGCAAACCATGAAAGAAGATGCTTCACAATTGAATTTCCTGCATGGGATATGATTATTATGTTGTACAATAATCCTAAATCATATGCACTTAATTATTAAACATTCAATTTTTTGTGTTTTAGCATAAGAAATACATTTAAAAATCATCTCCGTCACACTTTTTGTAACAGAAATGACAATATTTGAATAGATGTGAAGCTAAGTGAATTCACGAGAGAGACTGTAATGTCTGAATACATGATAATGAAATTGAACAAGGTGCTTTCTTACAGAGTAAACTAGATCCATATTCACCCTTATTTTATTTCCGTTACTGACAAAAGAAAACATCATTCAAGAAATCATCTCCGTCACAGTAAAATGTGAAGGAGATGACCAAATTAAAGTCTTTGTTCATATAGCGCCATTCATTTTGTTTACTGGGTGAAAACCATGTGGGCTTTGACGTGTATACAATTTTGATCACATTTATGAATAATTTTATATTTATGAATAAGATTATTTTACCACAATAAAAATCAACATTCCTTTAATACTTTTCATTTTATAGTACCTTAAATTGGCAGGACATGGTATGACCACTTTACTGAAGAATCACCCATGTAGTCTACAGTATTGTAACTTGACTTGATGACTGTTTGTAAAACACAACATTGACCGTTAATGAGAACTGATGTTGAAATTGTAATGTCAATGAGGGAAAACCCTAAAGTCAAGTTATAATACTGTAGACTACATGCGCACTGTTTGTTTTGAGCTTTTAATCTTATCATATGGAGGTTTGTAGACTTTGGTATTTTTTTGGTGATGGTGTTTCCCGAAATCTCATATACTATTCTTTAAACAGCTGTATGTTTAAAGTCCTGTAACTTCATAACGTAAAGTCAGATTTTAATGATTCTTTTACTGTTTAACCCTGTATTAATATCTAAAAATTGATTTTTGTGACAAGTGACTGGTTTAGCTTGTCTTTGCCACTATTCACTTTTGAATCTAGCCTTGTCCAAATTCTGACATGTTTTAGACTAAGGCTGCAATGATATTTTTGTCACTTCACTGCTATAAATTTAAATCCTACTTCAGCAAATCCAAAGTCCTTGGTTCTCTTGCATGAGCTGTTCAGATACATAATATCTAGGCTTCTTGAATTGGTCAGCACTATTTATTTACTATGACTTTTGTCAAAACTTAATTGTTATTTGGGGATTTTTTTTAGTGGGCTGATGTATTGGCTGCAGCAGCCAATTACAACGAACAACAGCTGGAGAAAGAGCTAAATCAATGCAAAGAATCATGGGAAAAAGACAAAAAGGAGAAAAAATCTGTACTGCAACCCGAAGAGTATGATGCATTGATGAAACAATACCAAGAGGAGGTGACTAGGCTGGAGGAGAGGTTGAACAGACAAACAAATGCACAAAGACAACACCTGCTGGACAAGCTGGCAGAAAGGAGAGCAAAAAAGAATAATGTTGGTCAAAGTTCAATCAAATCAATTAAACCCTGAGATTTTTATTAGGGAGCTTTTGATTGCACGACAACGGTAGGAGGTAGAACGTAATGACGTCACTAAAAGTCATCTGCGCATGCAAGAACGTTAAAGTCACCTCGTCTAGCAGTTCTGGAACACAATTTGGCCAAATCTACGTATGCGGGTGGGACGGTCACGCATGAGTGATTTCGTTCTAGCGTGGCGTCGTCGCACAAATCGAAAGCTCCCTAGTCTGCCACATTCCACAACTGTTCACGCTATCATTTTATGTGATAAATACCTATAATATATCCCTATCTATATATGTGTAATATGGTATCATGACCATATATAGCAAAATCAAATATGTTGTCACAAAATTTTATTATTGTAGCCAGAGTTTTTACTTACTAATATTTGGTACTCTCTTGTAATTGCTATTTATATTACTACTAACCTTAATACTATTGGTAATGTTATTATTGCTATTATTTATAAAATAGTAATCAATGCCAGGGGGATCCACAGATTTCCGAAATTGAGGTGGGGGCCGCTTGAGAGACAACATTACCCTAGGGGGTCCAGGAAAATTATGTAATCTAGATGCCAAGAAATAACCTCTCAAATGTTAAATCCGCCCCTGAATGCAAGTATAAATTTGCTTTGAGAAAATTTTCATTTTTCAGAATGCAATGGCAATGACTGCGGATGAGGTAAAGGAAATGCAGCTGGCAATAGCAGGTAAAGACGTGTCCTTCAAGGCAGAGATAAAGAGGGTCAAATGTGAAAAATCAAATGAAGAAGTACAGAAACTAATTAACCAACACAAAGAAGAAATGAACAGCTTCCAAAAACAATTAGATTTAGAGCGTGAGAAAATGAGGGAGACCCTGTTGGCAAAAGTGGCAGCTAGACAGAGAAAGGGGTTGGTGAGTAGCAAGAAGATAAAATTATTATTGGACCTATTTTACAGAGCAAAAAAAATAGAGCATGGCAAGTCGATATACCAATGTGCCCTTGTCATTGAATTATTTTGTGTTTTCGAAAAACTGTCACATGACGTACAGACAGCAGAAAAAAAACACAAACCATGCATGTGTGACAACAGTGTACCTGTATAAATTTTACAATAACACAAAGCGTAGCTAAGCTGGTTATAGGTGGTAAACACTACTGAAACTGGTGGTGGAAATCTAGATGAGAGATTTGTAGCATAGTAAAAAGTGTGCTTTTAGATCATATTATTAGGGACTGCAATACAATAACTCTAGTTAGATTGGCAAATTAAGTTTTTTATGCTGATGGCCTATACAAGTAATGTCCCCCTTGACACCACCTCTGGGGTTAAGCGCTCTGTGTGTTAACCCATGAAAATTTTTTTACTGACCTCTGTACTATTTTTTTGTTAGTCTGATGAAGATGAAAGCTTAACTGATGAAGAAATCAAACAGAGCCAGGTGGCCTTAGATGGCCGTGACACCATCTTTAAAGAGAACATCAAACAGACCAAATCAGTCCTTACATCAGAAGACTACCATATACTTCTGGATAACCACTTAACAGAACAACAGCAACTTCAAAAACATCTAGAAAAGGAGAGAGAGAAGATGAATGCCTCTTTAAGTGAAACAATTAAAAATCGTTATGCAAGAGAAAAGAAAGTAGGAGATCAGGTTATTTCTTTATGAATATTTACAATGTGTATCATATTGCAATATACAGCACTGTACCATGATATATATTAGTACTTTTCTTGTGTTTTATTATCAAATGTTTCTCTTCATTTAATTCAAATTATAAAATTGGTTTAAACCTTAATTACTATGATATTTTTAAAATCTAAAATCAACCTACTCAGATAATTTGGATTAAAAGAAATAATAACAAAATTTGGAACATTAATCTTTCAATTATTTTGATTGCAGTAATATCAATTTTTATTGTGTGATTTTAATGTTAAAGCAGTAGTTAGTCATGTTTAGTCGTATGCAATACATTTTCAATTCTACATTCTAGGAGGTGAATGCTGCTGCCATCCAGGCTCGGATGGATGCTGCACGTGCCGAGTTTGAGCAGCAAAGTAAAAAGAAAAACATCACAGACGAAGAGTACCAACAACTTTTACAGGAACATGAAAACGAGATGAAAAGGTATTGTAGAATGTTTATATCTACATGTGTTACAAAGATATAGTCAATTTATTTCACAAATTCCACTTTTCTTGTAGCCTGTCTTAGTGCGCGCCATACCTAAATTAATTGTTGTCCCATACTCGAATTTTTTTTTTTTTCCATCTCTAAATTAACTTTCTCGTTGCTGGCACTGTCCGTGGCGTCACAGAGTTTTTGGGGTCCTGGCACTGACTCTTATTGGGGACCCTAATAAGTGAGCAAAGCGAACGTTAAGTTTTCGAGCGGAACAAGCAAACAGACGCAGGAGGCATAGTAGAGTCATTTTCATGAGATCCGTGACTAATTTTAGGATACCTTTGTTTCTCGATGGATTTGGCAAGATGGACCAATTTAAAAAAAATATAGCTCCTATATACCTCCCAGATATTGGGGGAAAGTCCCGTTTGGGGGCGTTTTTCAAAATGGCCGCCTGTTGATTTGGACGCTTGTATCTCGATAACCACTGGTCAGAGAGACTTGATTTTGGTCTCAAATTGTTCACAATATGCATGTTCCTATTTGTTGTAATACAACTTTTTATCAAAAAATGTTGGGAAATGCGGTTTCTGAAAGTTTGACCTTTGACCTTGTAATGTCATATCTCAGTAACTACTGGTCATAGAGACTCACAATTGATTGCAACTTGTTCAGAAGATTCATGTTTATATTCGTCCTAATGATTTAATGAAAAAAAATATTCAAATTGTGACCGGAAATGGTACATTGTGACCTTTGACCTATTGTAGGGTAATTCCATGTAAAATCAGATTAAAAAAAAAAATCCTGTATGAACGTCTCAGATTCCATGAAAATGATCCACTGTATGAAAAACCAAAAAAAAAAAAAAAAAATAAAAAATTAGCCTCATAGGATATGTAGTTTTCGAGATATTGACTCCTCAAAAATATGGGGCGTGGTTCTTCAAGATGTGCAAACGCAATTTACTTCAACTTTGGAAGCTTATAACAGGAGATTGGTAATAGCTACCAGGGTCAAACTTGGTATTCTAATATATTTTTCACCATATTCCACAAATATGGCCTTAGATTAACAGTTATCCCTTCCCTTTTGAAGTTATATGCACTCAAAGTAGCCGCTTTGTTTAACAATGCAAATTTTTTGTGATTTTCAAGTTCACCCTGCGTCTATTTGAGTGGGTATATACACCTCATATTACAGAAATATTATCTATGTGTAGTTGTCTCTAGCCACATGCAAGCGCAGGATGATCAAATCAATTAAAATTGAATGGCATATATTAAAATTTGGGACCAGATCTATAAAAGTGAAAAACGCTAATGTTTCTCAACAACGGATCGACTTGTGGAAAGTTAAAATCTTTTCTTAAATTTACCCCAGTTAATCAAATACATTGGATCTACCTATAAACCAAATTTTAGCTTTGGTACTTAGCTCATGGCTAGATACTATGTTGAAAAACGGGACTTTTCCCCCAATATCTGGGAGGTATATAGGAGCTATATTTTATCTAAATTGGTCCATCTTGCCAAATCCATCGAGAAACAAAGGTATCCTAAAATTAGTCACGGATCTCATGAAAATGACTCTACTAGCAAGGGGACGCATAGGACCTCCGGACAGAGTTGCGGGGGTGGAGACCCTTGGTGGGGGTCTGAGAAGGCTTATGTCATTTATGAACTGTTAACTGAGTTAACAGAGCACATAGAATGATCCATGACTGATGAAATATTTCTGACAATTTTATGACAAAATGTTCCAACTTTCAGAACTTGTATAGGCCTACCCATAGGCTTATGTACTCTAGGTGTAAATAAATAAAGAGAATATTTTAGTGAGAAACAAAACATGTTTTCATAATGTATATAAAATGCAAATCACAAAATCAGAAACAAATGTCAAAAATCAGAACCCAGCTTTTATTGTTTAAAACTGCCGGGGCCCCATTGAATGAAACTATAGTATTATAGTTTATATTATTATTTTTTTAACTACAATGTCGGGGCCCCCGTCCCCGAGGAAAACAAATTATAAGGGAATTGTGGCAAGTCTACATTTTTGCAGCTATATCAGTGGCAGATTGAGAGGAAGTTCAAAATGTAGGTAGAGTCATGCGACATGCGAAATACCAAGCAGGGTAGGAGGAGGGCAGTGGTGCTTGAGATTTTTGTTTTCAAATAATAAATAATAATGATAATAAAAATAATAATAAGATTTATAAAGCGCACATATCCACTGCAATTGTGCTCAAGGCACTTGACCATAGATACTGGTACATGCAATTTAAATTTTAAAAATTAGCTTGTTTGGAGTAGCGTGCACCCTCTTGCTCCTTTTCTCTCTTTGGAAGTAGCCCTTATTTCCCCTGGATCTGTCCATGCATCTATAAGCATATTGGTACCACACAAAATCATCCACTGATAGGATAATGACAGTATTTTCTCAGCTTTATTTACATTGATTATTTTTTAACCCAAGGTTACAAGGTTTACTGGACATGTCCATTGATAGACAGAAACTCCACATGATGGACAGGCTAGATGCTAGAAGGAAAAGAAAGGCATTAGTAAATGCTGAAGAAGAAGAAAAACAGAGGTTACTACTTTTGTTGGTAAGTGATTATAATGGCAATTGTTGGTTGTGGTGGTGGTGGTCATGATGATGATGTTGATATTGATGATATTGTTGATAATGATGATGATAATGATGATGATGATGATGATGTTAATGATGATGATAGTGCCTGTGATAGTGATGGTAAGAATTATGTTAATAGAATCTATGGGTTATCTTAACTAATTTCTTTGTCAAGTGCCAATGTGTGAAGTAGATGTAGTTTTCTCTAACAGTCGATTTTGAAAGGAAGTCAATATTTTTCTGCTCTCTAATCAAAAAATATTATAATTAAAATCTTATGGTGGCAGAGCATTTTCTGTTGCTGCGCCATTACTATGGAATTCCCTGCCTCTTAAGTTCACAATTCTCCGTATCTCAACATTTTCAACTTTTTAATTCTGTTCTACTCACAACGCATTGAGACCTTGTTTATGCGCTATAGCAAATTTATATACATTACATTAAAATACTTATAACTGCTGTTCATTTTGCCATTAGGGAAAAGAAGATCTTACGATGGAAGAGATTGAACAAGTCATCGATGATCTTGAGGAATATGAGGTAGCTGCACAAGAGAACTTAGAAGCAAAGAAATCACAGATGTCAGTTGAAGATTATCAGAAACTGCTTGCTGCTCATCAGAAAGAAATGGAGGCATTCCAAAGAAAATTAGATGAGCAGAAGAAGGATATGGGAGCAAAGTTAGCAGTTAGGCTAGCAGCCAGGTCAAAGCTACAGACAGAGATTCTTGAAGAGGAACAGATGCAGGAGGTAACCTTCTAATCATAAGCTCCATCCACACTGTCACACTTTATGTGACAAACATCTGAGATTTACCTATATATGGGTGTGATATGACATCATTGTGCCCATATATGGGCAATGACATATATTTGTCACACAATTTCTAATAGTGTGGAGAGAGTTTTACCAATGGACACAAATCTAAGAAAAATAGTGGCTCTGGTTTTTTTTTTTTTTTCTTTTTTCTTTTTTTTTTTTTTAGGAAAACAATGATACATATATTAACATTCTATAGTGGGCACATTAACAATTCCTGACCACCTGTCCTTTGATTTGATTTGTGAAAATATTTTTTTATCGTATACACAATAAATTGTTAACGAATCATGCTAGTGTGGTAAATTTATTTCTTTTATTTTCTATTTGAACAATTGCTTTTTAGCTTTTTATTATTATATTATTTATTTTTAGATTTATGTTTCTTTCTTGTTTGTGTGTGAGCATATTGATTTCCTGCTTTGATTAAAAAATATAGTTTACATTGTACCCTGTATATTACAGTATGGTTACCTTGTATCTTTTTCTATCAGTTCTCTGTCCTGGAAAATTCTGTTGATGTGAGCTCATTGGCAGTCACTCAGTTGTGGACAACTCCAGTGCAGTCCAAGGCTTTGGTTGTGGTTCCTTTACCAGAAGAATATCCTGTAAGAAAGAAGAGACAGCTGTATACAGATGCTGCAATCTTCAGGGATTTAGATACACATGCTATCAAGGTGGGAGCCTTCCCATTTTCGGTACAAAGAGATTACTGTAATAATTTTACCTATACTGTATTAATTTAATTTATGTGGACAAGAGGTCAAGGAGCATGCCATGACACATTTAAAAAAAAATTAATATTAAATATGATTTATATAGTGCAAAAATCCACTAGTAAGTGCTCAAGGCGCAAGAGACAAAGCATGAAAAAACTAAAAAGCATGGAAATTAACCCATGAATACTACCATAATATAGCCATAGACCTCTTTAATTCATTTTTACGTAATTATCTTTTAATTTTATGATTAAATTTATTTCTTTTATTGGCCTCTAACCTTGAAAGTTGCCTAACAACAACTGATTTTTTTTTTTTTTAGCTTGCACAGATTGGCAGTCTGGTAACCTACCCAACATTCTCAGCTCTGGTTGATGAATTAATGCGAATTGGAACTAGTGAGCTGGAGAAAGCACGACTTGCATTTCGTTGGATTACTGCACAGAATTGTGATGAGATGGACTTGAGCGAGGTGGTTGATGATACCCCTCTTGGCGTTCTGAAAGGCATCTACTTCAATAAAATCACCTTCTCAACGTTATTTATGAGGATGTGTCGGTAAGTAGGAGAAAGCAAGTTCCTTGTCAATTAATTTTTAATCATATCTAAAATGGCATCTGAATAAATCTGCTAAATTTTCATTAGTTTTTAACATTTTTTTGCAAAACCAGAATGCAACTGTTTGGTGTAAATTGGCAGTAGTATTATTTGCAAGTTTGGTAGTCTAGTGGTTATGGCGCCAGGCTAGTTATCTGAAGGTTGTGGGTTCGATTGCCATCCGAATCACTTGCAATTTTTTTTCACAAGCATGTGGGAACTTACTGAGTATTTGGTACGATACGTCAAGTAGGGCAAAACATCATTTCTATGATATTTCCTGACGCAGACTTCCGTTGTAATAGAATTATTTATATTATAAAGAAGACTAAAAGAAAATATAGGCAATGCAGGAAGATAGCTCCAGTATACAGAATTATTTATATATTAAACATGATATTCATTATGCAATATAATTCTGTTTTCATCTTTTAATTAGCTGTAGTGTTATATGTAATTTTTTCAGATTCATTGGATTAAGGTGTGTTGAAATCAATGGATGTGCAAAGGTTAAAGGTTATAAACCTGGCATGTTTATCTCGTTGGAAGACCATAACTACCTTCACACGTGGAACGCGATCCGTATCGATGGTCACTGGCACTTTGTGGACTGTAACTGGGGTGTGTCACATATCGCTGGCTCAGTAACATTCGACCCATTTAGGTTTGAATATGATGAGCATTATTTCCTGGCTGACCCCGAGGTCATCATTGCTACACATTTTCCAAATGAAGGTGCTTGGCAACTGCTTCCGCAACCACTCACACTAAAGGAGTTCAATTGCAGTGTTGTTTTGAAACCAGATTTTTTCAAATTTAATTTTCAGTTACTGAACTTAAAAGAAGCAGTTGTTCATGTAAAAACTGGAACTCTTGATCTACGTATTGGCCATCCACAGGGATTTATTCTGTCTTGCAAGATCGTGTCATTAGACAGAGAAACAGACAAAACATTAAATGGCATAAGCTTCTATCACTTTGTGTTTGTCCATCAGGTTGCTGAAAACCAAATGAGTATTTACATCCGTTTTCCTGAGGTTGGCAAATTCTTCGTTGTAGTTTATGCTAAGAAACAGTATGTCAATGGCCAAGTCAATTTCGAAACCGAGACAGAAATATGTCGTTATAATGTGATAAGTGATGCCCCAAGCGTTGATCAGTACCCTCTGCCTTCGTCTCCAGTTGATCATTGGGGTCCGATAGGTGTAGGCAATGCTGGGCTTGTGCCCATTACACATCGTACTGCTGTCATTGTTTCTAACAGGGAGCCAATAACTATTGGTTTTAAATTCACACAGCATTTAATATTTCATCATGAGTTAACCTGTCAAGAGAAGGATCCCCTTACACTGCAGTCATATGTCATGCATCGTAAGTTTAATTGCAACGTCCTGTTTACAATCACCCCACCTCATGCATCTCGTTTTGGTATCAATATCTATATCACCTATCCCAATGATCCGCAGCAACAGAAGGTCCATTTGTGTAGTTATCTTTTGGTTGTAAATGCTGTAGAAGAAACCAACGTACTACCAATTCCCATCCTTAGTAGAGGATACTGGGGAGAAACAAGAGCATTTACCAACCTAGGCTTAACTGCACTTAGCCACCCAGACCCATTCATTACCGTGCCTTCTGGTGACAGCCTGAGCATCAATATTGGAATAAGTGAGGAAGTTTTCTTACAACATAGGCTTGAGTATTACCATGATAAATCTTTTAGTAATCTTACATCTACAACACATGCTCAGTCTTCAAAGGGCTGTATCTCATTCCTTCTTCACCTACCAAAAAAAGGATATTATGTTTTTAAAATACTAGGCTCAAATAGTAATGAAGAGGGTATGCCAATGTCTGTGTGCTTTGATTATCTTATTAAAAGATATTAAAACTTAATTTACTACACTAACTAAATAATAATTTTTCATACCAACATTAGAGCACTGTATGCTTATGTCTGCTTGTGTGCTCGGTTGCTCCGATGATTGCAACTGCAAGCAGTGGCGGCTCTAGGATATAACTTATGGGGGGATAAAATGTCAAACTGGGGGGGCTAAGTATTTATGGGTGTAACTATAGGCGCAGCGTTATCTGAGGGCCGAAGACCAGGGGCAAGGGTGAGTATGGAAGGGGATGTCCCCTCCTCACAAACCAAGATTTTTTAAATTGGGACTTCTAGATGGCTGGGATGGGAAAACTAGGCTTATTTTATTATATTTTTTTTTTTGGTCCGACTGCCTGACAAGCTTTGGCCGATGGTGGGGTGGGGGGCTTGACTAGACCGATGGGGGCTTAAGCCCCCCTGCCCCTAGGGAGGCTATTGTTTTTACCTGTGTTACTGTATTCATGTTTTTATCATTTTTGGTAGTAAATTTTTTGTTATCACTAAAGTTTGTACCTGTATATATATGCATAATAATATTAAATGGCATATGATTTACGTGATCTACATACCCACTTAAAAATGCCCACAATATCTAACTGTTGGTACAGATATTTTTAGAATTATAATTAAATAATAAAATACAAATTATAGTTGATGCAGACATATACATTTTTTTTTTCACATATTTTAGTGTAATATTTGATTATTTTAATTACAGTTTGCAATATGTCGCAATAAGTATCGCAATAATGGCCAATGCCGTTGATCATATAGAAACCTGTGAAACCCAATATGCCAAAGTAATGCCATATACTTAAGTACAGTACAATAATATTTAATTATGCTATATATATATTTTAGAAAGACCTTGAAAGAGCTAATGAAATACAATTTGCCTTTTAAAGAACAATTGTTAGTCAATAATTTGTTCATTATTTTGGCACAAGCAGTTTAATAATATAATCAGCAAAACTAAAAATTGGATTATACTGTAAAAATGTTGTGATAGATGTAGACATTTCTTATTAATTTACTTGGCTTATATTATGGGTTAGCATTGGGGATAACTTAGGCACTTTAAATTTAAATTTTCTCTTACTTAGTGAAGATACGCTGTACAGGCCCTTGGAATTCCTGTGTGTTTTGCTTGCTGTGTGTGTCACAACTCTTTGTATATTCATGTTAGTGTAAAAATATTATTTTACGGTATTTTAATTGACATAATTATGAATTTAAAAAATGCCCATAATGGTTAGAGGCCTAAAAAGGTGGTGGTAGGAATGTTCTGCCAGATCTGTGCAGGTGTCTGGACAATAAATCATTACTCAAAGTAGTACATTATGAACGAAAATAAATCGGTTACAAATCAGGTATATTTCTCTTCAAACTTTTAATTTTGCTGAAAAACGTATGATGACGTGATGGCGATGGTGGTGATGATTGTTAAAACGATGGTGGTGATTACTGTGATAATAAATGGCGGTGGTGACTGTGATGACTTTATATAGTGGTAGTAATGACTGTGACGAAGATGGTGGTAGTGGTGATAACTCAGCATTGTGTTACTACATTGTTTATAAAATTGTGAAGTTGCAAGTCATGTAATCTCTTCGCTTCAAGACGAAAACAAAAGAATCTAAACGTAGTAGGTTAAAGATTAAGCACGTGATACGTTGTGCTAACAATGCGAGGACAGTAATCTAGTAATAAATTTATTATTTTTATCTTTATTTTATAAAATAAGTTAATCTTAACGATTTTTAATTGTTTAGTCCGGGTATTCTTTTTCAGTATCCAGTTGTTTTTTTTCATTGTTTCACAAAATTGGAAAATAAGGTGGAGAATGAACAGAGTATGTACTCTTAGCAACTTACGAACTCAAAATGACAATCATGAATGTATTATGTGCTCTTAATAAGAAGGGGTAAAATTATGCACTAATGGAAGGAGAAAGAGGGAGGTTGCAAAAGAGTATGTTTTTTAAATGAACTATGCGACACTCACAGCAATTTTTAAGAATTAATTTGTTTGATAGATTATGAATTTCAGTATGTTGCTTTGGAACCACAATTTGCTAAAACATAATATTGTTATAAGTCTCAGTAAAATAAAAGAAAAACAATCAAAATTAGCTTTAGACTAATTTATTTTCAATAAAGTCCAACGATCTTTTAAATAGTAATAATTAATATTAAAGAAATTATAATTATGCGTTAACAAACTAGAAAATAAAGAAATCACCTTCAGAGTGAATTAATCGAAGCACTAGCATAAGCAAGTACAGGCCTAAAATAGTAAGAATTCCAACTTTCTTAATTCGGTAATAATAAGTATACACCTGAGCAAACAAGCAAGTACTAAGTAAAAGGGGAAAAAAACGCAATCGAAATTACCTTTAGACTATTATTTAATTTTTATATATTTCAAATAAAAGCAGGTTGGCGCTAGGATTTCCGACGGCAGGGTAACTCGCCTGATATACAGGCAAGAGTGGTACTTTGTCGCGTAGCGCCTTCCAAAGGGCCGTAGGCCGAGCTGTCGGGGGGGGGGGGGGGGCGGGTTTGGAAAGGTTGTCCCCCAATGAGAAAATTGGGGTAGGGAAAATGCTTATACAGGGCACCTTGACCTAAGAATGGCGTCTGTGCCAAGACAATCGTGAAAGACATTAATTTCCTGTAAAAATGTAATTTGATGGTGTTTTTTTTGTATCTCGAGTCTTAAGTTTTAAAATAATATATTAGAGGAATCTTCTAACTTCCCCGCGCCCGTAGCGCCGCTATTGTAAGTCTAAAATAGTATCAAATAATATTAAAGAAACCATGATATCATGTATTTGAGCAAACCACAAAATAAAGAATAAAAATCATCTTGAGAGTGAATAAATCAAAACACTAGTAAACAGTAGGCCTAAAATAAAAAGAATTCCAAGTTTCTTAATTCAGTAATAATATCCTATGAATTTCATAGGTTATATACTGCAAAAATGTAAGTACTCTTTTAAAAATTGAGGAAAAAGAATAAAATTAGCTTCAAACCAATTAATTCTAACAGACTTTGAAATAGTATTAATTAATATTAATGAAATTATACCATGTCTTTGAGCAAACATCAAATAAAGAATGAATAAATTCATCTTCAGAGCAAATAAATTGAAACACTATTAAATTGCAGTAGGCCTAAAGTAATGATAATTTGAAATACTTTAATTTGGTAATAATATTTATAAACCTATGATTTTCATAGACTACATTACAAACAAGCAGGTGCTCTTTTATGAATGACACGTTATGAATAATGCGCAGCATTATCAAGATCGTTAATGTGTTTGACAGATGTATTCTGTAATTTCAAAACCACAATGTGCAAAAACATAAATGCTTTAAAGCATCAGTGAACTAAAACAAATGAAAAAAAACAAAAACAAAACAATTGAAATTAAATTCAAACCAATATTATTTAAATAACTTATATCCAAATAATAAGATTTCAAATTCCATAACCTACACACTAAAAACAAGCAAGCAAAATCATGAAGTTTCCTGATGTTTAGGAGTTTGGAAGTATTCGTTGAAAGCCTAAGTTCACAAGTCTTCCACGTTTGTTTCTAGTTTTTTGTACAAATTCTCGTAGTTTGCTCGGCTCTTGATCCAAAGAGCACTCACTACAGCCAAAACCACAAGACTATCAGCAAGCAACAATGTTGTAAAAATTCCTGGAAATATTCCTCTTGAAATGGAATCTAGAAATTGGTTAAATGATGGGCGTTAATTAAGCTAACCAACTGATTACTTCGCCTAAGCAAACTGGCAACAATTTTTTTTTAGTCTATTTATTATAAAATGGTTAAGTATAAATAGGCCTCTTGTGTCCGGAATATTGAGGTACTTAATACATCACCCTAACTTACAATTCTGAGTATGTGGATGCAAAATTTTGTCAACGGAGGTGAGCAGGTTTATTGACTTTTAAATATGATTTAAATTATTTTTACAATAGAATCAAATAAATGGAAAAATATTTTAATATTATTTGTGGAGAGGGAAAAGAGTTTGCGATAGCATCAACGCCACCCCCTTGAATCCGCCCAAGAAATTAGATATACAAATAGAAATATATGCCTATTAATGTAATTTCACATCAATTCTAAACTACGATTAATAATTATTACTAATAAAATTATTAAATAGTGTTCAAATGAATAAATCATGCGTCTAAATTGTCGTCTGGTTGCTTAAGTATCACAGGTCCAATAGCATTCGGAATCGTATCAGATAATTTGTTCAGTCCAGATACATCACGGCGCCCACGCCCACGTTGCTGGCAGTCCCTACGACATTGTACATCACTCCCATTGCAAACAGACAGTTGGCAATGTACAAATACCTTGAAATTATGAATAAACAAATGTGCATGTTTTTAGATGGCATAACTGAGGTTAATTTTTTTATGTGACACCGTGTGGTCGGCGAAGTGTGATTTTCAGATAAACTTCATTAAAATTTTATGAGTATGAATAAATAATAAACTATATTTATCGATGTAATATTGATCTCATTTCGATCAGATGCCGACAATTAAAGATTTTTAGGAAACTTTTAGCGACGATCTTAACAGGTATAAGACGCCACTTTCTTTACTTTTAGAATTACGTAATGAATTGATACATATTATTGTTGAAGGTGGTTTGGATGGATGGTGGTGTGGATTTCCATTCTGGTTATGAAACTTCTGGTCAAGACACAAACACACGGTTTTGGGGTAAATACAATAAATAATATTTAAATTATTATTTTACCTGGTATTGTTGGCAAGGAAATATTGCTACCTGTTGCATCTGTAAATAATATATTGATAACAATTATTTTGAAATGATCAATTTATTAATGAAATAGTAGCAGTAGCAAAGCAATGACATTATAACGTACCCGTGCTCTGCACGGTATTGAATGAGTGGGAAAAGCTGGCGATGATGTACATTGTTGAATGGGTAAGTTGGTGAGGCAATCGTTGTGGATGTTATGGTTACCATGTCATTATTTTTCTAAAGGACGTCTTTGTAGATAATGTTTCAAAGGTCTTTGCTGAACACTTTACTCCTTGTGAGGAATTATTGTGCAGTGTGATCAAGGGTGGATTCAGAATGTTTCAAACCGGGGGTTGGAGGGGCACTAACAGTCATCAGAGGTTCTTTTCAGGCCTATACCATCACGGCCTTCAACAAAATACTACGGACAACGCACTTTTTTTTTTTATGGTCAGCAGCAGTTCTTCGGAACGCAATTCGTAACTCATTAAACTGTTTAACTTGAATATCTCTTTTATTTATTAAAATCTCAATTTTTTATATTGTTAGGCGCTTAGAGGCGCCCAGCATTTTGCGCTATATCAAGTTTGAAATTTATTTTTATTTTTATATTAATAAAATATTGAATCGATATGACCATCGGGAACAAATTAAATTAAAATTTGTTTGTTTCATCAACGAATTAATTTAAATCGGAACGTGTGTTTCTCAGCGACTTATCTGTGTTAGCATCGTGGGAAAAATACAAAAACAACAAATGGCTAACTATCCAGTGAACAAAATTAATTTGAAAACTCGGAGGTAGACTATTTACTTTGCCGAATAGGCTTAGATCAATTAAAATTTTCAGTTCAATATCAGCTTATCAATAAAAGAAAATTCACCTGTTTCAATAAAATTTATATTTCTTTATTTTAATTCAATGTTTACAATGACTTAATTGCATACAAATGCATTCTGATTTATCGGTGCTCTTTACAGAATCCATATATCTCAAACGCACACCCCATCTACATGGAACATCTTCACAATAAAAAAAAAAATCAGAAATTACGAAGTTGGTCGACACTTTTTGCCAATTAGGAGGTTAATATAGTATAATACTGCAATAAAATAATTATATAGTACTTATTATTTATTCATCTGTTTGTTCGTCTGTCCGTCCGTTCATGCGTTCGTCTCCGCTAGGAGATACATGTTTTCAGTCGTGTAAGTGTTTGTGTGCGTGTGTGACACGGTTTGGTATTTTCGTGTGGTTATGTTTTGTGTGAAATATCTAAAATATGGCTGCACAGACATAATTGAAAATAACAGGGAGTATTAGGTATAACCCAATGAAGAAATTATTAAATTTTGGTGACGGTCCGGAGTAGGGTGTTGATGTGAGGGCCATTTACAGAATTATTGGACAGTTGATTTAATTATATAAACCAATTTGCGTTTTATAAAACGTTTAAATTAACTCAGCTAGGTTAAACGCAAAATTACTGCGATATGCATGAACAATTTTCGCTTTCAACCACTGAATCTATTAACTACAATTATGCACTGATCTACACAGGGTCGGCTCATATAGCACGCAATGGTTAGGAGTCTCTATATTGCATTCGCTTTGCTATAGTTCGAGTGTTACTTACTAACATCACGTTTGTGGTGAAATTTGTGTTTTTGCATCAGCAAATAAGTTAATAACATGATCAAAGTTAGCAATGTTGTCTGCTTCATCACGCTCAAAACTAAGTAGTGCCAAAGCAGATAGTCTTGCTTTTCCCATCGTGGCTCTGAGATATGGCAGGATGAGCTTTAGTCATGTAGTCATTACAGAATAGGATTAAAAAAAAAAAAAGAAACAAACGCAAGCAAGTACGTCGATCATCGGATTAGAAATTCACATCCCCGGATTGTAACCAACGGCGTATCAAAGTGATGAGGTGCAAAATAATTGCCTGACATTTTTATTTAGTGCGTCACCTAACCGGGCCTTCGGCTTGTTAAGTCTACTCTTGCTATTTTGCAAATAAAGCCAGTATATTTTTCCGTGTTCCTATTTTTTGCCGATTTCAGGCTCAATATTTTCTTATTTTGTTATTTTTACCCACTTTTTAAACATAGAAAATTATTTTACATCAGTATATTACTGTACTGTATTATAGTGTATGACACATCACACCAACTGCAAAAAAAGGGACAGATAGAATTTGTTGGTTCTATTTTTTCAACTAAAAACCTCATTTGAAATTTTACCTCAGTCTGCTAAACCACTAATGGAACCATGGAGAAAAGCAGTGAGATTACAGATACAGATTTTATTTGGATCGCTTTAAAATCGGCGGCACACATTAATTTGATGGTACATTCTTATACAAAAAAAAAACATATTTACAGAACAAAATGTATAGATTAATACAAACATTAACCACTTAAAAAAGAAAGAAAAAAAGAAAGAAAACGTAGGGAGACGCGAAGGAGAATGTGTTAATTCTACCGAGCAAATTTAAAGAATGAAAATTATTGTACTTAGTCACGTTGTCTGTCTCACGAAGTATTTCTTTATCTTTTGCTAAAGAAAAAGTGACAAGATTTGGTATTTTTTGAATTTGTTTTACTATCTTCAATTGTTTTTCTTTCTTGCTCCCACTTTGAAGATCAATTCTAGTGGTCTATTCGAGCAATATCGGAATTATTTTTCGAATACGATTGAAATGCCTTTTTAACTACAAAATTGTATTACTTTTCCAAAGAAACGACTCAAAAATATTGACAAGTTTGTACAGGTCTGACGTAAGTAACATAACTATACACTGTGTATGCCGGGAAATTCCTCCTAAAAAATTGTGAATTACCAGTTTGTACTTGTATTCAACTGTTTGATTTGTAACACATTAGTTAAGAAACGTCTTCAGAGCCACAAGGGCAGTGGCTATTGGCAGATACAAAAAGAATAATAATGTCATCTATCTACCAAATCATCCATTTTAATTAAATAAACAGCAGCTTTTCAACTGTGGCAGAGCAGATAGAAAACTACAGATTTTTCGCAATGTGGCTGTGCCGACAGAAAACAGCAGGTTTTTCGCACTGCTGTAGTACCGATAGAAACAGCAGCTTATTCGCACAGCGGCAGTGCCGATAGAAAACAGCATTATTTTTTGAACTGCGTAAGTGCCGATAGCCTCAGCCATTCTCAAGCATTCTCAAGCAAGCATAATTAAAATAGTGCTCAATTGGATAAACATTCTGAATTTTCATTAAAATGTAAATAGTCTGCCCCAGTTAATTTGGTTGTTTTTTAAAATAGGCCTAATATGCTATATAAAGCGATGCTTACCTGAGGTACTGCACAGGCAGTAGAGCAATAGGAACCAAAGGCACTCTTCCATCTTCATCTTGAAAGATAATAACCCATGATCCTGTTTTTACGTTGCTTTATATTATGCTCAAAAGGAGTGAGAATAACATATTGTTTGTCTAAACATATATTTTGTTTTTCGGACGGAGACGAGATTCTTGTCGCTTTCCGAAAAAAAATTAATATAATTTATTTAGACCTAAGGTTGCATAATCCCAAACATTATGGTTATTCTTACTCCAAGTGTGTACTGTATACAAATTCCCTGTGTATGCAAATTAAAGCGAGGTAGCAACATGATCATGAACTTACATCTTTCAAGATGGAGATCAAAGAGTGCATTTGTGTCATTGTTCTACTGTTGCATGCCTTTGAATATGTTAATTATTTGTAATAACATTTAGCAGATAGTCTGTTGTATTCAGTGGTAGCATTATGATTCACCCGATTAGTCCGATGTCCCTGAGCTGGTAAGTGGGGGAAATGGGAGCACTGGTGGGCGGAGCAGAGGTGGTCTCAGGGAAAACACCTCAGACGTTTGGTTTTAAAAGGCTTAAGTAAATGATTGTATAGGGTATCATAGCCTGTAAAGATTACGTAAATTTGTATATTTATC